CACCGCCACCGAGCTCGGGAGGAGGATGAGCTAACACTTGCCCTGAGGGCAGAGGATGCAAGGGAGCGTTCCGTTTTAGGGATGCCATATGTCCTCTTTTTTCCAGGACACGTCCTCTTTTTCATGGGATGTAAAATGAGAACCTTCATAGTGAAACAAGGCAAAATCTGCCATACTCACTAGTACCATTAATCACTTGTGAGTCGGGTTGAACAAAGAGTCCAAAGTTTATTTACTGCAGTAAATAGGTTCAGCATGGTCACTTCCACCAAGGCTGAACCCTGGGTCTTGCCCATGGGGGCTTTTTATAGGGTTTACACACAAAGAAATCATATAAAATCCAACCAGAAGCTCCTAGGCATCTGCAGAGTGTAGCTGGCAAAAACCCATCTTGCTTTCAGGCCAAGGGAGCCAGCATTTGTCCACAGACAGCTTTCTGGGTCTTGTGGCCAGCGTGACTAAATTGTTTCTGGCACAACAGAACACCATGACGGAAACCAGAGTGCACATAAATGCCATTTACATTCCCACCACAATGGTATCTATTAATCTACTTGCACTGGTGTGCTTTTCGAACTGCTAGGTTGGTAGGAGCTGGAACAGAGCAATGGGAGCTCACTCCATCACAGGGATTTGAACTGCTGACCTTCCGATCGGCAAGCCCAAGAGGCTCGGTGGTTTAGACCACAGTGCCACCTTGCGCCAGCAAGTGAGTAGCACCGAGTTCACTATTCCTAACACATTCTTGGATAGATAACGGTTTGCAGTGGGGCCTCTTCTGTGAGCAAACCATTTGAGCTTTTTGTGAATCTTTTGTGAGAGAAAGGTTTTAAGCAGAACCCCAGTCTCTCATTCAAGGGGGCTATTTCAGACCCCCCAAACCCCCTCAATGCCTCAATAGGAATCCATAGTTAAAAGCAGAAGTCTGCAAATGTGTCCTCCTTTTTGCTCTTCAAAATATGTCAACTCAGCTCTCCATGGCTGCTGCCAACCTCCCTTGAGCAGCTCATAGCGGCTGCTGGAGAGCAAGCAAGGAAAAAGAAGAAGAAGAAGAGTTTGGATTTGATATCCTGCTTTATCACTCCCCTTCAGGAGTCTCAAAGCGGACAACATTCTCCTTTCCCTTCCTCCCCCACAACAAACACTCTGTGAGGTGAATGGGGCTGAGAGACTTCAGAGAAGTGTGACTAGCCCAAGGTCACCCAGCAGCTGCATGTGGAGGAGTGGGGATGCGAACCCGGTTCCCCAGATTACGAGACTACCACTCTTAACCACTACACCACGCTGAAACGGGAGAAGTTGCCACTGCCAAGGCCCAACTTTGTGCAATGCAGGCTCTGAGGTGCAGGAGTAGGGCAGCAACACCCAGGGCAGGAAGAAAGGGGGAGCAGAGTGGAATGCAAGGAGTCTTGATTTTTAACCAAAATGCTATGTGCGCCCGCATCTAATCTTGCCCTTTTCAAAAAACTATTTATTGGTGTGTGTCTTTCTTTTTGTAAATCTACCAAAGAATAAGATTAGATAAATTTGGGGGGTTGAGGAGGGTCAGTTGCAACGGGGTGAGAAATATTCCTATTTTCATCAGGAATGTTGGAGGGGGTGAGGGAACCTAAGATTCCCGTACAACCTTTCTTGCTCGAGCAATTGCTTGTAAGAGAATTCTCAGGTGTCACTCGCTGTGGGCGGTGGGTGATAAAGAGACTTGGCTGTGCACCAGACCTCAAGTGGAGCTTTATCCCATCTGCACACTCAACAAACTACTGCTCCCAGGATTCTCTAGGGAAGCCATCATTGTTGAAAGTAGTACAGTAGTGCTTTAAATGTGTGGTGGCTGGAGTGTAGTGTTGGGGCTAGAGTCAGACCTGGGAGATCAGGGTTCAAATTCTCACTCAACCATGAGTTGGGCCATTCACTGCCTCGTGGCCTAACCTACTTCGCAGGGTTGTTGTGGAGGCGGGGGTTCTTCCCTTGGAGAAAAAAGATGGGATATAAATGCAATTAATAAATAAGATGTGTAAATGCATAGCTGTCAACTTATAGATTTGAAAATAAGGGACCAGCAGCCTTGAAAATAAGGGACCAGCAGCCAAAATAAGGGATTTTAGTCAACCAGTTAAAAGGGACCAGATAATTTTGGAGAGCAGCGCTGGTTTTTAGCCCTTCATTTCCAGAGGTTGCTGCTCAAGACACCAGCCGATGAAACACTGCAATTAAATAACTACCAGCAGCAACCACTTTTCACGCAAAACGAAGTCCAAGCTACGAAGATGCTGCTGCAGTTTTGTATCTCTTCTCTCGTGCTCCATCTGCAGCTCTCAATTCCATCAGGTGGGGCGGGAGGAAGGGGGGGGGAATAGCGCCCGAAGTAAACCCATAGATCAGACCATCTATGCTAGTCTACCACTACAAATCTATGGGAGAAGCGCTTGCGGTCCTTCCCTTGTAGCCCTTGGAACACCTGCCCGCGCCTCCGCCTCCTCCTCTTTCTCCTCTCTCTGAACTGCTTTCTCTATGGTTGCCCTCGCTCTCCTCTCAAGGCTCTTCATCAATTCATAGACCATGCCAGGCTGCCCATCTCATTCGGGTCCTTCGGCGGCACAGCCGCAGTACGGCCTAGTGGGAGCGGGAGCGGCGGTGATGGGCAGAGGGGAGGCCCCAGGCAGAGACTCTCAGTTCGGCGGCTGCGAGGAGAATGGTGTCGGAAGTGCCTGAGGCTCCCACCAATCCCGGCGGGGAGGGGTACCCAGGGGCCGAGGCTGGTGAGAGGAGGCTGGAGGGGGGCGGGCTGGGCAGCCAAACAACACAGTTGGAACCTCCCTGGCCAGCAGGGAGGGAGGGAGAGCAGCTGCTTCCTTTGAAACCTGGGAAATTTAAGGGACATCCATCAATAAGGGACAGCAGCGGGACATGGCGCTGGGATAAGGGACTGTCCCTCCAAATAAGGGACGCTTGACAGCTATGGTAAATGTGTGGTGCAGATGTAGCATAAAGAGAGGGGGTGTCAAATAGTAATGCTCATGGAGAAAGAGGGGATATTGTTAGGGTGGCCCTAGTTCTACACACCCTCCAAGTGTCCCTATTTTCCAGGGACATTCCGGGATTTACAGAAGCCATCCTGGTTTCTGACTTGATCCCGGAATGTCCCACTTTTCCTTAGGACTGTTGTAATATGAGTGCTCAGCAGCTGCGAAGTAGCAGCTCATTGTTTACATCACATGAATTGTCTGATGTTTCTGAGCGTGGGACAGGATGTTCAACGCTCTTCTCAGGGATGTGTTCTCAGTGTAACTTGAGACCTTCCTGTTGTTCTTGCAAAGGAGGAGTTAGTAAGATGTTTGGAGCTTTTCTGAGAGAGCAGACATGCTTTGTGCAAGCTCTTATGCAGTGTACAGTCCAGGAATAAAGTAGAAATAAATAGACTACTTTTTCAGACTGTTTTCTTTCTCCTGCTGGCATGCAAGGGGGAAGGGAGTGTGCATCTCTCAAGAGGGAGGTGTCTCTCATTGAAGATCTCCCTGGTCTGACCGAAGACCAGCCAGGGAAAATCACTGGCAACAGGCCCCAGTGCCTGGGAAGAGGAGTCAGCCTTTCCCGAGGGGGCCAGTTTCCAACAAGGGCGCCCCTATTTTCATTGGAGAAATGTTAAAAGGGTATGGTGTTATGTCACTCCCAAGTCAAGGAGATAAGTACCGTACTTTCCATGTATAAGACTAGGTTTTTTTATTTAAAAATTATGTTCAAAATTGTGGATCGTCTTATACACAGATACAATCTCCCCCCCATTTTCTTAAACCGGAGTCCCCCAAAATAGGGGGCATCTTATACATGGGGGTGTTTTATAGATGGAAAAATACAGTAACTATCCACCCTTTAGAAGACATCTGACGGCAGCCTTGTATGGGGAAACTGTTTAACGCTTAATGATTTATTATGTTTTTATAGGTTGGAAGCTGCCCAGAAGTGGCTAGGGCAACCCATTCAGATGGGCAGGGTAATAATAATAATAATAATAATAATAATAATAATAATAAGTGCTTTTTTCTAGGGGGACGCAGGGGTACACATTGAGGAGATTTCACCCCTCCCATATCCAAGAATCTCCTGATGTTCTCTGCTGATTCTCCAGAGAGGAGGAGGCGTGTTCTGCTCTCTACTTATTCTGCTCCAGCACCACGTCAGTCAGTCAGTCAGTCATGCTTAGACCTATTTAGCTCTGTATATAGTTGCATTATAGTTGTAGTTATAGAATAAAGAAGATATTCTACAGAGCTGCTCTCCGAGTTGTTTATATACTCTGCTAGACTCTGCTGTACTCTGCTGTGCGACGACTGTCTTCTTGTGGGAGTGAATCCGGTGCTCACAACTCTAAGCGGTGAGTCCACAGCACTTTGACCTGTTCCTGTGCAGAAGGTGGTCTCTGGAAGTGCTACCCAGCTCGCCTTGCCCAGTCGGGCTGAAGTGGATGAGTCCAGTTGGTGGCACTGGCTCAAGGGCGATGCTGACACACATACTCCTAAACATTTTGTGAATCTTTGTACTTTTGTTCATTTACTGTATTTATTTCCCCCCATTTGAAATGGTTGGTTGGATAGTGTTTTCAAGGTTACCAGCATGAGTTTGACCAAACTGCGGGAGGTAGTGGAAGACAGGAGTGCCTGGCGTGCTCTGGTTCATGGGGTCACGAAGAGTCGGACACGACTAAACGACTAAACAACAACAACAATTTGAAATGGTGATTTTCTTGAGTCAAAATGTTAATACAGAGGTACATCAGGTTACAGACGCTTCAGGTTACAGACGCTTCAGGTTACAGACTGCTAACCCAGAAATAGTACCTCGGGTTAAGAACTTTGCTTCAGGATGAGAACAGAAATTGCACGGCGGCAGCGGGAGGCCCCATTAGCTAAAGTGGTGCTTCAGGTTAAGAACAGTTTCAGGTTAAGAACGGCCCTCCAGAACGAATTAAGTTCTTAACCCGAGGTACCACTATACCCCCTAAACATTTTTTTTTTAGAAAAAAAGCAATAATAAAAATAAACTTTTCATCGGAAAAATGTTGGAGGGTATGCTTCTATAGGATGGTCTTATTTAAATTTAACTTTCATATATTAAAAGCTGGAGAGCATGTGCAATTGTGCCTTTCGTTAGAAACAAAATCAGTCCAAATACCTAAGAGTTAAATAGATAAAGTACTTTCTCCTAGAGAGACAAAAGAATGGGGGGGGGGGAGGAAAGAGTGTTGTTCCTGTATCTTCCTGATCTTTCTTACTCTCTGTGTCTCTCTCTCTCTCTGTTGTAGAGATGGGAGGAGAGCTGGCTCTTGCGTTCCTGCAGGGAGAAAAAATAGGTGAGTTGCCAAGGAGTCTTTGAACAATGGGAAAATAGAGTCCACAGGAATGCTGGCAGTTGCTGACTGGAAGGGAGCCCACGGTAGAAAATGTGAGGGGGGGGGAGTGTAACTCAAGGTCTTTCTCTCCCCCCACCCTCCAAAAAGCAAAAATTACCTACTTAAGCGCAGGGCACCAGTGTCTTTTATAATTCCTCCTCCGCATTGCCAGCTAGCAAAAACCAACCACCTGTCCCTGTGGATATATTTATATAAAACCATTGTTAAATTTTATAACCACCTGTCCCTAGTACTGTTTGGCATTTGGAGATTAAACGTGATTGTCTGCTCCTGTATATAGCAAGCTACTGCTGTTAAAGGGGCAGCTGGGCAGACTGGTCCAGAAGCTGGCCAAGCTGTGTTTACAATCTGAATTGCAAGCAGCGGCAGGAGGGCAAGTCTTTTAAGGCAGTTGTGGGAAACCTGTGACTGTCCAGAGTTTTTCCTGGGCTCCGTTCATCCCTAGCCAGCACAGGAGGCGGTGTCAGGCGTGGCTGGTAGGCATTTGGAGTATAAGAATAGCCAGAGGGTCACTTGTTTCCTTCCGTGTCCCATTAAGAAAATAAGAAGAGCTTGCTGGATGAGGCCAGTGGCCTATCTAGTCCTGCATCCTGTTCTCACACTGGGTGACCGGATACATTTGTGGGGAAACTGGCAAGTAGGAGCCGAGAACAAGCCTATGCTTCCATCCTGTGGCTTCCAGCAACTGGAATTTGAGAGAAATGATAATGTTGCTTTTTCACATAAGCCACAATGCTGCAACTACAGATAGCCCAGACTTGTTCACACTCATAGTTAAAACAGCTTATGGTTAGGATTAGGGGCGTAGGAAGTGGTGGTCTGCCCCGGGTGTCATCCGGGGTGTGTGTGTGACAAAATCCCCCCTGGGCGGATCGCTGCTGCGCCAATCGGCCCCCCGGGCGGATTGTCCCACCCCTGGGTGCATGGCATGTGTGCCGCTCTGGGTGCCCGAGCGGCTAGCTCTGCCACTGGTTAGGATGCTTGTAAATAAGGCAGCTTGCGGCTGGAATATGGTTTATTTGTAGGCTTCAGCAGGTGTAGTATAGAACTCACTTACACCTGTAACTGGGACAACTAGAGGTCAGGATGTGGCTCTGTCGCTTGCGTCAATAGGTAAATGCATAGGAATCAGGTAAATATGGGGAGTGGGCATCGAGATCAAGAGTACAGTGGTACTTCTGGTTAAGTACTTAATTCGTTCTGGAGGTCCGTTCTTACCCTGAAACTGTTCTTAACCTGAAGTACTACTTTAGCTAATAGGGCCTCCTGCTACTGCTGCTGCACTGCTGCGCCGCGATTTCTGTTCTCATCCTGAAGCAAAGTTCTTAACCCGAGGTACTATTTCTGGGTTAGCGAAGTCTGTAACCTGAAGCGTTGACGGAGCCAGCCGTCACAAATGGCGCTGTTTAGCATAAAATAAAGACACAGAGAGCCAGCAATATTTTCATGGATGGAGGGCAGCTCATTCGAACTTCTTCTCTCCTCTCCGGTATCTTTTATTATCCTTTGTTCTCTCCTGCCGCATGGCCGTTTGCCAATGTCTCACGTTACCTACATCCGGTCATGGCTTTTACCCACCCATCGCCATATAAGGTTATGCACTTAATACACTGCAAGGCACGGACATGCAGGTCACCGAGGTCAGCGAGGCACCAGGTGGCGCTACAAGCCTTTGCCATGACTTCCTGGCTCCCACAAAGCGTATGTAGTCCAAGGTACCACTGTAATGGGAGATTTAAACATGGGTGGGAATGTTAGTAGGGTAATTAGGCAGTCGTGATAGGCTGTAAACCTTGTAGTACCCAGCCAATGGGGAGACTGTTAGAATTCTTGCTCTGTGATTGCAGTCATGGGATTGTTGTCTTTCACATGACGGTGTATGTTTTGACTGTGACAAAATCCCCCCGGGCAGATCGCTGCCACGCCATTTGGCCCCCCCGGCTGGATAGCTCCAGCCCCTGGGTGGATTGCCCCACCCCCAGGGCACGGCATGTGCGCCGCTCTGGGTGCCGGAGCGGCTAGCTCTGCCGCTGGTTAGGATGCTTGTAAATAAGGCAGCTTGTGGCTGGAATATGGTTTATTTGTAGGCTTCGGCAGGTACAGTATAGAACTCGCTCACACCTGTAACTGGGACAACCAGAGGTCAGGATGTGGCTCTGTCGCTTGCGTCAACAGGTAAATGCATAGGAATCAGGTAAATATGGGGGGTGGGCGTCGAGATCAATAGTAATGGGAGATTTACACATGGGTGGGAATAGTAGTAGGGTAATTAGGCAGTTGTGATAGGCTGTAAACGTGTAGTACCCAGCCAATGGGGAGACAAGGGAGGGAACCTGAGCTTTGGGTATAGGGAATATAAGCTCATGCTTTGCCAAAACCAGGTGTGCCTACTTTGGACCCCCGCTCTTGCAAGAACCTTTTTGTAATCAATAAATCTTCGCTGCTTCATCAATTTTGTTCAGATATTAATTTGAGGGTCTCAAGAGCCACTTCTAACAGTATTCAGAAGCATTTGCAGCCCTCAACGGTGGAGGCAGAGAAGAGCCATCCTGGCTAGTAGGTATTAGTGCTGGGTGATAACTGGCTTTCAACATTGTGATATATCACTGGCTAAACATTGTGATATTGCAATGTCTGAAATAAGGATGGAGCTATGTAGAGGCATTGGCTGGCTTCACAGTTTTCCCATGTTGTGATGTTTGCATAGCATATGAGCACAAAACATCGCAATTCACAATATATTGCCAGGTCAAAAATTATGAAACCAAAACCACAATGTGGACTTCAAACTGGTTTTAGACAATATATCAATATACAGTCATACCTTGGTTCTCGAACGGAATCCATTCCGGAAGTCTGTTCTGTTGAATGGTTTCTTTAAATGTAAAGGTTCATCATTGTTCCACCCGATGTGTATATCTTTAAGGGGCCAGAGCAAGGGCCAGAGCAAAATAACGAGACCCAGCTTTACAGCTGTGAGACATAGCAGGTGCTGCTGAGTTGTATTGATTAAGCTGTGTCAGCAATTGGGTGTCGTATATAAGGAGCAGCACCTAGCTCTCCCTGGGGGATGGGTTGGTGGTTGGGTCTGGTTTGTTGTTGATGTATTTAGTGTATAAGGAGTGTTTGTTTTTGTTATTAAAACCTTGTTTACGTTATTTTTGAGTCCCTTTTTAATGCATGGTCTCCCCAGCAAGCTCTCTGCAGCGCTACTAAACTGCAAATAGCCAACATCTTTGACTTCTGAAAATGTTCAAAAACCAAAGTGTGGCTTCTGATTGGCTGCAGGAGCTTCCTGCACTCAGTTGGAATATGAGTAAGCAGTGCTGGACTTTCAGGTTCCAAAGAACATTTGCAAACTGGAACACTCACTTCCAGGTTTGCAGTGTTTGGGAGCCAAATCGTTTGCGTACCAAGGTACAACTGTATCACCTGGCCCTGGTAGACATTGATAGCACAGATAGTGCCATATAATCTCATTAGTAATGCCGTCTTCTGTCTTGCCACTCACCAGGTGACAGCACTGTGTATAATATCATAGAGGAGACGTCCCTGCCCTGCTCCTTTTCCCCACCCTGATGAAGGAGGTCGTGAGCTTGTGTGCTTTCCCCAAAGGGTCCAGGGCAAAGTTTCCTTGAGGCCTACAACCTGTGGGAACGGGCAGACCTCAGGGATGAGTCTACAGGAACATACACGGAAAACCCACGCTGGAGAAGAGGATGGTCTCTTTGACCCTGCAGCGCTTAAAAAACGAGGGCAAGCTCTTGAACTTTGGCCAAATGCAAGAGGAGCAAGGTAAGAGAAATCCCACAGTTGCCTCTCTGTCTCTCCACCCTCCAGCCCAGGTCGTTTTATTCACAAAAGAACTTTTTACAGAGTGTTCGTAAGAACCAATCAGATTTCTTCTGAGCATTTCAACAAACCCCACATGGGGACAAATTTAAACTACCAAAACTAATTAAGCATGGGGTAAATAAAACAGAACTACAAAGGAGTGCATTTGGCAACCCCGGGAGGTGATAAACAAGCAATATACATGATAAGGATGGCCAGGAAGACAGCGATCATTATCACCTTCAGGTGAGATCTGTTTCCTGGCCCTAAGATTAACATCCTAAGATTAACATATCAGAAAAGCTACATCAAAGAAGCTTGCCCACTGTCTTTGATGACCCAGGATGCCTGCCTGGCGAGCAACTGGCAGTGTACGTGACTGGTCAAGAAAGAGAAATGGAACAGGGATGCACAGGTGTGGATTGATCAAGAGTCATATCAAAATAGTTTAAACCCAGTCAACGCAATGCTTTCATTGCTGACGCAGATGGCTTACTGTATATTTGTTATAATTCCTCATAGCAATCCCACCTGATCACTACAGTTCCCATCATCCCTGACCACTGGTTCAGCTGGTTAGGGGTGATGGGAGTTGTAGTTCAAAAACAGCTAGAGACCCAAGTCTGGGAAGCCCTTGGTTAGAGTGTTGGGCCAGTACCTGGGGAACAAAGGTTCAAATCCCTACTCAGCCGTAACGCTGGGCCAGTCACTTATTCTCAGCCTCACCTACCTCACAGGGTTGTGGGAGGGACAAATGGGGGAGGAGGAAACTATGTTTCACCTTGCGCTCCTTGGAGTAAATGTAATAAATAAATCAGTGTTGTTATCCCCATTTTACAGATCTGGGGCATGGGTGTGGTGGGGGCCGGGTCATGGATTTGTGACAGAGGCAAAGTCTGAACTGGTGTTCCCTGAATTGTAAACTTAGTCCCTTAGTGTGCTGGTCCCGGGGGGAAGGTTACTGTTATCGTAGTCAAAGTTCAGTCCTGAGTCACTAGCCTGGAAATAGTCCACAAGGTGCGAGGCGAGGTCCGAAGCAGGGAACCGGGCGGGGACAGGAACACTCGAAGATCAGAAGCAGGAAGCCGGGCGGGGAACAGGAACACTGGAGGAACAGGACTGGATGCTGGCCGAAACAGCTCTTCAATGACGACGTTGCTCCCGCAACCTGGGACTGGGCTGACTGGCCTTTATCTTCTCTGAGGCCAGGGGCGGTCCCGGCCCCCAGGAGACCCGCCTCTCCTGGCCTTAAGGCGAGCACTCCTCCTGGGAGAAACCAGTTCCCTTCGCCTCTCTGCCCTAAGCCTCTGCAGTTCAGGAGAGGCTGAAGGGTTACTGGGCCCCGGGGGAGACTCACCTGCAGGCACTGAGTCCTCAACCACCTCTGGGGCCAGAATGGATTCACCTGGTGCCTGCTCCTGAGGATCCGGCACAGGTGCAGGCTCCTCAGAATCAAGGCCCTGCCCCAGTTCAGCCGGCCCTGGAGGCGGGGACTCCTGTGCCGGCTGGGATTCCTCCGGTTCACTCTCAGAATCGGAATCCCAGGCCATCACACTTAGTTACTATGCTGTAATCTTGTTTTCTCTGACATGTGAGCAGTCATGGAGCTAAATAAGTCTTTAAACTTGGCCAGCGCATCCTGGTGTCAGATGTGGCTCCACTTCTCTCATTTATTTACATGATTTATATGGCACCCTTGCACAGGGCGGCTCACAGGCAGGGGCGTAACTGGCTGCTTCAATCCGCCCATGGGGGCGCCGCGGCGACCTGTGAGGGGGGGCACTGCGCTGAACTGCCCATGGAGTCCACCTGGCAGACACAAGCCACGTGCTACCATTTCGGGCAGTGCAGGGCCCCAAGCCACCACGTCACTCCCAGGAGAGACGCGTGGCTCGGGCACGCTGCAGGCCCCGTGGTGAGTGCCGCCCACCATTTTGTCACCCCCCTCAGTGGGGACACCTGGGGCGGACCGCACCCACCGCACCCCCCTTGCTATGCCCCTGCTAACAGGAAACGCAAGTGAATAAGAGCTCATGAAATCCATAAAAAAGCAAATCCATTAAAAAAAAATACACTAGAACAAATCACTGAATAATCGTTACTAATTGTAGCAGCAGCAGATAAATCAGCAGTAGTTGAGTTAGGACACTCATGAACCAATGAACTAGGCAACAAAGAGTGCGAAAGCTGGGCTGCATATACACCATGCATTTAAAGCATATAGGCTCCCACCAAAGAATCCTGGGAACCTTAGTCTACCCCTCTCAGGGGTACAATTCCCAGCACCCATAACAAACTACAGCTCCCAGGGGGAAGTAACGTGCATTAAATGCATGGTGTGTTCACAGCTTTAAGTCCATAGCTAGCAGAGTCTTCTTGCTTTGTCTGAGCGCTGATTTGGGAGCTTTTTTATAGGGACGTGGGTGGCGCTGTGGGTAAAAGCCTCAGCGCCTAGGGCTTGCCGATCGAAAGGTCGGCGGTTTGAATCCCCATGGCGGGGTGCGCTCCCGCTGCTCGGTCCCAGCGCCTGCCAACCTAGCAGTTCGAAAGCACCCCCGGGTGCAAGTAGATAAATAGGGACCGCTTTATAGCGGGAAGGTAAACGGCGTTCCGTGTGCTGCTCTGGCTCGCCAGATGCAGCTTGTCACGCTGGCCACGTGACCCGGAAGTGTCTGCGGAGAGCGCTGGCCCACGGCCTATAGAGTGAGATGAGCGCACAACCCTAGAGTCTGGCAAGACTGGCCCGTACCGGCAGGGGTCCCTTTATCTTTACCTTTTTATAGGGACCATCAGGAAACACCTGAACATCTCTGGACTATTGGTGTACAGAGGATAATCTGGCTGGTGTATATCTCCTCTCTGAGCTAGAGCTGGGTGGTGGTGCACAGGCTAAGTCCCTGCCTGACATCTGTTGAAACTTAAGCCTGTAGCTGGTCTTGAAAGAACAGCTCCCTTTCTCAGGAAATCCCTTCAATTCTTCAGGGTTTGTCTGTTTTAAATCTATATGCCCCCTAGCGGCAAAACAGCTGCATAGCTAGGGAAACAACTTATTTATCTATATTTAATTGCAATTTTATCCTGCTTTTCAGCCAGAAACACAACAGCATTGAAACCCATTGCAAATAGCGATTATAATAGCGTAGAAAGAAAATATGCTGTTCAGAGCGGGTTCTTAACAGACATGAACCAGGCATTATTTATTTATTGCATATCCCACCTTTCCCTCCAAGCTTAAGGTGGTTCTCCCTTTCTTCAGTTAATCCCCATGACAACCCTGTGAGGTAGAGCTTAGGCTGAGAGAGGCAGAGTCTGACCCAGGGTCACCCAGTGAGCTTCATGGCCAAGTAAGGATTTAAACCCTGGTCTCCAAGGTCCTAGTCTAACACTATAACCACTAACACCACACAGGCTCTTCAGACCTGCTGCTTCCCTGCCCTCTGATGGTCTCATGGTGGCAATTGGTAGCTCCATGGCTGGAGCTCACAGAGAAGGGTCTCTGATACAGGCTGGTTCATATCGGGAGGGGTTTATGGCTTTATAGTTCAAAACCAGCACTTTGAATTGAACCCAGAAACTATTGGAAAGCCAGTCGGGCCAGAATCTGTGCAATACGTTCAGTCCTTCAGGTCCCTGTTATTAATCTGGCTGCACTAGCTGTAGTTTCCAAACTGTCTTTATTTTTCAAATTATTTTTTATTTTTTTATTTGGTTTCCAAATTATTACAAATCAAACCAAATTGCTTTAATTTAATACAATTTCTTAAAATATCAGGTTTCCCGCCCCTCTTGCAAACATATGTCAATCATTTCCTCCTGTATCCACATCATCTTTTATTTAGTGTCCAATTGATCCTTCACTTCACTTGTTGTTAGTTCATTCTTGCAGCTGATGACATCCCCCTCCCCTTAAAAAACAGCACCTCTGTTACATCATATAATTATAAAATCTATTTCACGTGTGTAGTCCTTCATATGCATTGTTGTTTCAGACCCGGTGTGCTGGGAGAGTTCATTACTATCTTCCATTGTTCAGTCTTTGCAGTGCTTGTCTGGATATTACCAGGTCACATTCCATTCCTTCAGCTGATCACCAACTAGCGTACTGGCTGCGACCACAAATAATTCACAAACTGTCTTTAAAAGCATCCCCACATAGAACACATTGGAGTAATTTAACCTAGACCAGTGGCTAGACTGTATACAAAGTGTGTTCACTTTATAGTCTCTTTCTTCTCCCATCAGGTGAGGGGAGCGCAACTGAGAGTATAGATCATCCACAGCAAGCCTCTGAACAAGGGGAACTCTGTGCAGCTGAGAGAATCCCTGAAGGGAATGTTTCCAAAACTCCAGAAGCTGTTGAAAGTCCCCAAGGACCGAGGAGGCAACAGGAAAACTGTTTGGAGAAGAGCAGAGGTAAAACTTGGCAAAGTGAAATCAGAGACCACGAGGGAAGCCGTGAAGGTCAGGGGCAAGAGACACTGACTGAATTGGGGAACAGCTCAGGCAAAAGCCAAGAAGAGAAGATATACCAGTGCTTATACTGTGGGAAATCCTTCAACGCACACTTCAAACTTGTTAGACATCACAGAATCCACACGGGAGAGAAACCATACAAGTGCTTGGATTGCGGCAAGAGTTTTGATCAGAAAGGAAACCTTATTGCTCACGCGAGGATCCACACAGGAGAAAAGCCATATGTGTGCTCCGAATGTGGGAAAAGCTTCAGCCACAAAAGCAGTCTTGTTTTGCATGTGAGAATCCACACCGGGGAGAAACCCTACAAATGCCCTGATTGTGGGAAATGCTTCAGCCGTTTAGGGTCCCTGAAAGAGCATGAGAAGACTCACACAGGAGAAAGACCATACGCCTGCTTAGACTGTGGGAGGAGCTTCAGGAAAATATCTGAGCTCACAACCCACCACAGGTTCCATACGGGAGAGAAGCCGTACAAATGCTTGGGCTGTGAGAGATCCTTCAGCACGAGCTCCAATCTCATTGCCCATCAGAGGACCCACACAGGAGAGAAACCTTATAAATGCTCAGATTGCGGGAAAAGGTTCAGCCAGGCTGGGAACCTTAAAGAACACGAGAGAACCCACACTGGAGAGAAGCCATATAAATGCCCAAACTGTGGGAAAAGCTTCAGGCAAATATCTTACTTTATTAAGCACCACCAAACCCACCTTGCAGATGAGGGGATGCATGTGGAAGAGAAACCATATAAATGCTCTGATTGTGGGAAAGGTTTTGGTGAGAAAGCGAGCCTCGGCAGACACCAGAGAATCCACACTGGAGAGAAGCCCTTTAAATGCTCGGACTGTGGGAAAAGCTTCTGCCTGAAATCAAATCTTGTTGTCCACTTGAGAATCCACACCGGTGAGAAGCCATATAAATGCTCTGAGTGTGGGAAGAGCTTCAACCAGACATCAAGTCTTCATAATCACGAGAGAACCCACAAAGGGGAGGAACCATATAAATGTTTAGAGTGTGGGAAAAGCTTCAACAGACCTTCGCAACTTAAGGCACACGAGAGAATCCACACTGGAGAAAAACCATACCGGTGTTCACTGTGTGGGAAAGGCTTTATTTACAACCACCACCTTGTGAGACACCAGAGAAATCACACAGGAGAGAAACCGTATAAATGCCCAGGTTCTGGGAAAGAATTCAGCCTCAGATCGACCCTTATTAAACATCAAAGAATCCACAATTAAAAAATACGTAAGGCGGGCTTTGAGCCTACTAAACAGTTGAGAATCCATTAAGGTGTTGGCCTTGAAAGTGGGCCTGAGGGGTGTCAGGTTGGGGCTGTTCAACCTGTATGGCAACATCGCACTCTGGTCAAAGGACTGGACCAGAAAGGCATTTACTCGGATGACACTTCTTATGCTCTGAATAAATTGGTCAGATAGATAAAGGTGGGCTGGGGCAAGCCTTTAATTCTGTGGTGCATGAAGATATTTTAATTATTTTAAGGTTTTTCGTTTGGCTCTTTGAACAATATTCATCCTTTTGGATGCACTTGGATCCTTTTAAAAAAAAGTGTTATTCATATTGTGTATTAAGTAAACTCGAAAATTATTCTAATGTATTGATGGAAATTGCTGTGGCCTGGCCCTAGGCTAATGTGTAAAGTCAGTGAAATGAACTTTGAGCATAGGAAATTGCCTTTTACTGAGGCCTTTTCATTCTCCTTTATTTATTCATCTTCTTACATTTGTAGACTGCTTTTCCCCCATAGCCTTTGGCAAGGTGGCAGTTTAGGATGGGGGTGGGGGGTGGGGGGAGTCCAGTAAGTGGGGAATATGATAAAGGTTTATAAACTTGTGCATGATGTGAAGAAAGTAGTTGGAGAGAAATTCTTCTCCCTTTGTTGTGATACTATTGTGTGCTATTCATTCGCCACTGAAATGAAAGTACAGCAACTTTCCCTCATGTATCCCTTGCTACTCTTTCCCTGCTTTCCTGATCCCCTTTCTTCTCCTCTGTCCTACATTCTCAGTGTTTAGTTTGTAAGCTCCTCGGGGCACAGATCTTTACTCCTCCTCCCTGCCCTGCCCGTGACACATATGCACATACCCTGCTTACATTGCTCTGTAAAGTGCTTTGCATAGAAGGGGCAGAGCATCTCTTTTGCACACAGAAGGTCCCAGGTTCAGTCCCTGTGTCAGACGTGAGCCAGCAGTAAATCACACTTTGCAAGTTGGAGTTAACTCTTTATTAGCAAAAACACAATCTGCACAGGAGTGTCAGGCCCAATGGGCATATTAATTCATCTCTGGTTGGTCTAGCCTCCATGAAGTAGTTGCTGAGATTGAAGGTCCCCACCTCCCCACAGCTGCTGTCAGGATGCTGTCAGCGGCTCCTGGCCGGTTGCCCAGGAAAGTATAAAGACAAGGGAAAGTTTCTTAACGTCCTTTTTTATTTCAATCCTTACAGAGAGAGGCTATAGAACCCAGCCTCTGTGATAATGGCATTGTCCCGAGCGAATCTGCCCCCCCCAGTCTCTCCCACATTCTCATTTGTCATTCTCATTGTCTCCTCTACAGGTGCCACTAAGTGCCCTCTGCCTTTGAGCTCTTTGCTCTCCTACTTTTAAGGCTCGCCAGGTTCTGGGAGATGGCGGGTCTGGAATGCTTTCTAATGACATGTTGGCTGGGTGTTGTTCCAGCTATCCCATGATTTCCCCGCTTTCCCCCTCATCTGCCTCTGAGCTGCTACCTCCCTCAAACCCCCTGTTGTAAATCTGTACTGTCTTCCTCTTCCTCCTCCCTGGAAGGGTCAGGATGGGGACGCAGTCTCCACCACTCCTCCTCTGCCCAGTCCCCTGACAGCTGCCTAAGTTCCCTCCTCTCCAGGGTTTTTATACAAGCAATAGGAGACTGAGTCTGCACGTTACCAACCTTTTCATGCCTCTTCTGGTTCTGGGAGACAAGGGGGTTAGGGCAGGAGACCCCCTTGGGGGGGTGAGGCTGTTAAGATATTCCGTTCCACCCTAAGAGGAACAGGCTGTTGTGTGTCACATGTCTGTTTACACTCCAACAGCACAGCTTGCTGTGAACTTCTGTTTTGTGTATAGATTTTTGCTTAAGCTGTTTGCTTGGACACGAAGGGGAACAGACATGTTTTTCCTTTGTCCTGATGCTGAATAAAATGCCTGTAAATACGCTTTACACAGCCTCTAATCTGCTCTTCTGTTGCGAAGAGTTCTTATCTCTGCTGGCTTGCATGCTCAGCTTCTGAGGGTTTCTGAAGCTTGAGTCGCAGTTACATGCTGTTCCAAGGACCGGAGTTCTCCCGGCTGCCGGCCGGTGGGCTGGAGCCAGCTGGGGGCCTGCCAATTGCCCCCGTTCCCTTGGACGCTGTTAAGTTGTGGGTGAACATATCAGACGACACAGCAATTCTTCCAAAGCAGCTCTTTATTTGTAAGCTGGTACAGAACTGAACTGAAGGGCTCAGTCAGCCTGCTTATATAGAGCTCCAGTACCACGTTACTGTAACAGCTTTCTAAAACTATCCAATCACTGAACATCACTTTCGATCCTTCATTTGCATAACTATCTACAGTATCCCCCTGCTGGCCCAGGGTGAGAACTTCAGTACATAACAGATGCATCCTAACAGGCATCCCTGACTCTTCCCCAGCCTGACTCAACTCTGTCTCTTGGGCTCCCTCCTCTCTTGCTTCAGCTTCTGCCTCTGATTCTGGACTTCTCTCTGACACAAACTCCCCCAGCTCACAAAACCCTGTTATCCCTTTGGCTCCCAACTCCTTTCCAGTCTTCTCTCTCTGACCACTCATTGTCGTCCCATCACCACTCCCTCTGAGCTTTCTTTCCTTGGGGGGGTCCCCAGCTGGTTCCTCCCACCATTCCTCTGCATCCAACCGGTCCATGACAGCCTGGCATCTCTAGGTAGGGCTGGGAATATCCCCTGCCTGAAACAGTCAGTGTTGACAATACTGGGCTAAATGGATGCCTGGTGTGACTCAGTACAAGGCAGCTTCCTTTTTTCCATTGGTAGTGATATATGAATTATAATAAATTCCTGTGAATATTTAATGGGTGTTTCATGAGTTCTTCTGATTCTTTGCTGCAACTTCTTCCTTTTGCTGCCATGGTATTATCCCTATTTCACCAGCAGTGCCATAACTATGCAGATTTGAGGTTGGAGCCTTGCTGCAGAAACTTCTTTGTGTTCCAGCCCTGAAACAATGAACAGGTTAAATGTTTTAGCCCACCCCCAACTGCTGTTTGCTCTCATCCTAAATGCAGCCGCTCTCTGCACCTCCCACAGGATGCAAAGGATGTTAAATTGTTTGACCAAAATGGCCCAGTCAATTTTGCAAACAGTCAATTTCCCCAAATGCTCCAGCCAATTTCAGAAAGCACATAAATGTTTGTCCAACTGCAGCTAGTAGCTGTAGCGCAAGAGTGAGGTCAGAGAAGGAAATGTGACTCTCTGAACCATAGACCACAGTGTAGCAGAAAGTAAACCCTGGTTAGATTAATGCCTAATGAAGCCTGCCATATCTTCCAAATACTAACACAATAAAAAGTTGATTGCATGCTCATATATTCACATGGGCACATGGAGTCCCTTGTTGACTGCAACATCTGAGGGCAACCATGTGAATGAGACACTGCAAATCGAATATTAGGTATTCTACCAGTGTCTATAGATTCTCCCTGCAGAAAGTTCTCTCATGCACCCGAGCCCAGCATTGAGCAACATCCTTCTCCCTTTGCATCAGCTGATAAGAGGGGAAAGCCATCCTGCATAGTGCTGGGTTTCTGCTCTGCACAATGCTTCAAGGCTCCACCAGCTGGTCCTCAGGTGCTTTGGGAGCTGCACCAGGCAGGTTTGGGTCAAGCCCCACCCTTACCTGTATGACATCAGCTGTAGGGTAGGTGGACAGTGGTTTGCCCCAGACAGCCTCAGAGGTCCTTCCAATATTGACCAACAACTAGCTGCAAGAAGATAACAAATTAGAGGTTTGAAATGACAACCCGTTGTTTCAAAAAAGGTTTTGCAGGGCTAATTCTGGATGTTTCAGTAATTGCTGTCCTGTCATTTTGGTAATTCTTGCAAGGACCAGAATCCAAAACTGGGACACTTTTCCACAATCCACCACATAAATTGGAATGAACCTGATTCCGTACATCTCCAACATAGTCTCAAATATCTTCATCTGAAACAGTCTTATAGGGGTCTTATATAATATCATTGCTATTTTTAATACTTGTTCCCTCATAGTAGATGATACTGATTTAAATTGGAACTTTAACCATGTAGAATTCCAGCAATTTTTCTTCAATCAAAATATTCTCACGTGACTTCCACATTCATTTCAGGCCCTCTGCAGAGCCCATGTCAACACTAAGAAGTAAAATATAAAAACGAGCCCCCCTACTTGCCCTCAGAGATAAGAAACAACAGCTCAAGTGGTGTGAGATCTTGCAGGGCTTGCTGCTTAATCTGCTCCTGTCTAATAAAGAAACCTGCATGATACCAACTCAACCAGGTTATGTCTGAGTCCTGTAGTCCCTTTCAAATGTCTTGGTAACGGTTGAGAGTCTGGATAAAAATCCTTCAAATGAAAGAAACCACCCAGCCTTCGGTCTTCACAATTGTGAGGGCACCTCAGAAGTGATTTGTTTTATTATTAAAAATATTTATAGCTCACCCTTTGTGTGAACTGATTCCAGGGCGAAGGGGCACACCATAAACACAGAAGAAGGTAGAATGGACACTAAGGCTAGTTGTATTTAGAAATGCATTTATTTATTAAATATAAGCTGCAATTCTCTTAATTGCTAATAATAAAAAATACGGCAGTTATCAGGAAACGCAGCTTGAAACAAACAAGTCTTTATTGTCCATCTGGCTTGCAAATAAACACGGAATGGTGGGAAATCTGAAGGAGGAGTTTCTTCTAGTTCTAGAGGGTTTTCTGTGGGTTTTTTTTAAAAGGCTGGCCATCTGCCATGGATGCTTTAGTTGAGACTCCTGCATTGCAGGGGGTTGGACTAGATGACCCTCGGGGTTCCCTCCCGACTCTACAATTCTATGACTCTATATTTTTATTTACTTTTTAAATTAATAATGCACGCATCTGTGACCCAGCTTAGAAGCCATACAAAAATTAAAGGGCAGCTACAGTCACAGAATAGTAAACAGACGAGCAAACGAGAAACCCCAGCTTTAAAATGCAGCTCAGGCAGCCAAAGAGCCGCGCGCAGAACTGAACTGAACCCGCCTCCTACGAGTTAAATCGACTGAGCGCAGGTTCCTAGAGCGGCATGGTCTCTTTCTCGTCCTCTTCTGTTTAAAGGGGAAGCTCCTTTTGTCTGCGCCCGTCCCTTCTCCACCCCGTGGCTGCCGGAGAGGTAAGTCGGAGGAGCCCAAAGGTGCCTGCGGATCTCCCGTAGCAGAGCAGCGTCCCCTTTATGTACACGGCTGGATAATGCCGCTTGCACACGCGACTGGGCACGTGTGCAGGGGTTGGGGGCAGTGGCGTAGCGTGGGGGGTGCAGGGGGGGCCGGCCGCACCGGGCGCAACATCTGGGGTTAGGGCAAATCCACAGGTTAGGGGGCGCAAATCCACGGGTTAGGGGGCGCAAATTACTTGCCTTGCCCCGGGTGCTGACAACCCACGCTACGCCACTGGTTGGGGGTGTCAGGCAGAGCAAGCCCCTGCGCATTTTACCGAAGAGTAATCCCACTTCAACCCAGCGGGCTTCATTTCAAAGCAGGTATGCCTGTGGTTTTCGGTGGGAGGGAACAACCCCCTGTGCATTTTACTGAGAAGTAAGCCCACTTAATTAAGTAGGGTGCATTTCCATGTGAAGGTGTATAATCTTGCAGTCTCGCGTATTTATTCAGGATCAGTCCCACAACTCGGTGGGGGCTTGACTTCCAAGTAAACACAGATAGAACTATAGAATTCGTAGAGTTGGAAGGGGCCCTTGAGGATCATCTAGCCCAGCCCCCTGCAATGCAGGAATATACAGCTGTCCCTTTTGGGGATCGAGTCTTCAACCTCCGTGTCATCAGCACCACGCTGTAAGCAACTGAGCTCTCTAGTGAATGAGATCAGGACAGTTTATTGGCACCCTTTCAGGGTGGCCAAATGCTAAGGAGAACAGGGTTCTGGCATCTTTAATAGTTGTACAGAGGAAGGAATTTCAGCAGGTGAAGTGTCTTCGGCTATTTGGGGGGGTGGGGTGAGGTAGGAAGTCAGAAAAGGAGGCTCCCCCCTGTTGAACAATTGTGAGTTTGAACTATTTAAGGTCATTTGTTTTTGTTTTTTTGCACAGCATTGGAAAACAGCATCAAAACATTGTAATCCAGAATATTTATACATGGGTGATAGGTAACGTTAGTTAGAGTTGAAAACAATTGATTTATTTAGGGCATTGATTTTAATGGCTTGACATTATATATTGCTGATAATGAGGAGGATTAAATGTGAACAATTTCTCTTCCCAGCATGTTTTGACATAAGCCTGGCTATGACTGCCATTATGTACAGACTAACTTGGGAGTATGTGCCACAATCCTATGCATGTCTCTTCAGATGTGAATCCCATTGAAGAAGAGGAGACTAGAGAGAGCTAAATAAGTGGTTTACAGAATTTTTTTATTTCACACACAAACTAGACAGTAATCTCCCCATATTTGGCAGCTTTTAAAACTTGGAACTTATGAAATCCAGTTTAAGGGCCTCCATAGCTATCTCCCTTGGTATAGCTGAGAGAGAAGAGCAAAATAGGAGTCTAATTACTAACCTTATAATCAGGATTGTGCGTCGTAGTAACCTAAGAGCTCTAATGATAGGATTTCCTGTCTTTTTTATTATGATTGTGAATCTTGTGCTTACTTTACATTTTTTGTACAATATAATATGCTATTTGTATTGTATTGTATTAATTAGTTGCTTTGGTGAGGAGTGAAGGAAGAGAGTGGCTTTGGTGAGGATGGTTGGCGGACAAGTTAAGTGAGCAGGGGGCAGAGTCTCATATTTGCTTCATTACATGCTGTATTTTGTAGCTCAGTTAACATTATCATCAATCATCATGTTTCAGGCATGATTCACACTGTCTCCTCTCTTCCTTCCATCAGATAATGGAGATGTGAAGAATAATCTCAAGGTAGAAATGTCTGAACAACAGAAACAGATTGAGATATTGGTGAAACCACTGGAAGAGAACGTGTCTCAGTGCCATGTCAAGGCAGAAGCCGCTGAACAGCAACATGGATTGTCAAGCCAACATGGGAAGCCCATGGGGTTGGGAGTGGATGAGTCTACCCAGGGTGAGGAAAGCTTCAAGGACCAAAGCGAAATCTCGGCCCAGGGAGAGATGGAAAAAGACAAGGGACTAGTAATTTTAGAAGAAGAGAAGAATGCAAATCTCGTTACTTGTGGGAGGAACCTTACGGCAGTGAAATTGTATGGATGCTCAGACGGTGGAAACTCCTCTTGTATGACCTCTGAAAATCAATGGGATCATACTGCAAGGGAGGAAATATACACATCTTTGGACTTTGGGGACTCCTTTGGCATAGATGCTGGCTTTATCAAACATTGTGGAACCCACACAGGAGACAAAACGTTTCAGTGCTCGGACTGTGGGAAGAGCTGTGAAACAAAAAGCCAGTTGCTTGCGCATATGAAGATGCACACAGGGGGAAACCCACTTAGATGCACCATCTGCGGGAAGAGCTTCTCTCAGAACAGAGACCTCTCTACTAATGAGAGAATCCACACAGAAGACAAAATGTTTATGTGCTCAGAATGCAATAAATCCTGTCCCAACAACACTGAACTTGGACGTCCCCAACCCCAGACAGGGGAGGAACCATATAAATGTTTAGACTGTGGGAGATCCTTCACTCTGAACTCTGACTTTCATAAACATCACAAAACCCACACGGGAGGGAAACCACATAAATGCCCAGACTGTGGCAAGACTTTTGATAAGAAATTTAAGCTAGTGACGCATGTGAGAATCCATACTGGGGAGAAACCTTTTAAGTGTTTGGACTGTGGGAAAAGCTTTGCTCAGAAGGGGAACCTTGTGGTTCATGAGAGAAGCCATACTGGGGAGAAACCATACAAGTGCTTGGATTGCGAGAAGTCCTTCAGTGTGAATGCAGACCTTATTAGACATCACAGAATACACACAGGGGAAAAGCCATTCAAATGCCCAGAGTGTGGGAAATTCTTCAGGACACACTCTGAAATGTTCAGACATCAGAGAACTCACCCAGGAAACAAACCATACGACTGCTGGGACTGTGGCAAAACCTTTAGTCAGGAAGCCCACCTCGTGGCACACCTGAGAATCCACACTGGGGAGAAGCCCTACAAATGCCCAGACTGTCGGCAAAGCTTTGCCCAGAAAGGGAACCTCATTCTTCATCAGAGGACCCACATGGAAGAGAAGCCGTATAAATGCTTGGACTGTGAGAAATCCTTCCGTGCAAAATCTAAGCTCATAGAGCATCAGAGGCTTCACACCGGGGAGACGCCCTATGATTGCTCAGACTGCGGTAAAAGCTTCAGCCGGAAAGGGAGCCTCCTTGCCCACATGCACTTCCATTCCGGGAAGAAGCCGTATGAATGCTCCATTTGTGGGAAATCCTTCATTATGAACTCTGATCTCCTTAGACATCAGAGAACTCACACAGGAGAGAAACCGTACAAGTGCTCAGATTGCGAGAAAAGCTTTAGTCGGAAAGATGGCCTGCTCAAACACCTGGTAATCCATTCTGGGACAGAATTGCACATTCAGGAAAAGCCCTACGAATGCTTGCACTGCGGCAGGAGTTACAATTACAAACAGAACCTCATTGTGCATAGGAGAACTCACACTGGAGAAAAGAGATTTAAATGCACAGACTGCGGTAAAACCTTCAACACAAACTCTGAACTTACCAAACATCGGAGAATGCACACGGGGGAGAAGCCGTACAAGTGCTCCGATTGTGGGAAAAGCTTCGCCCAGAGGGGAGGCCTGGTTGCCCACAAGAGGACTCACACAGGAGAGAAGCCGTACAAATGCACCGTTTGTGGGAAATGTTTTAGTCTGAGCTCTTGCCTGATTAGACACCAGCAAATCCACACAGGGGAGAAACCCTATCAGTGCCCAGACTGCGGACAGTGCTTTACTCACAAAAGGAACCTTGTCAAACACGCTGCCAGCCACCAAGAAGAAAAACCATATAACTGCTCAGACTGTGGGAAAAGTTTTGGGATAAGTTATCACCTTGTTCAGCACCAGCAAATCCACTCAGGAGAGAAACCGTATAAATGCTTGGAATGTGGGCAGAGTTTCACTCGCAAGAGAAACCTTGTGGTACATGTGAGAAGCCACACGTCAGAGAAGCTCCACAAATGCCCAGACTGTGGGAAAAGTTTCCCTCACAAAAATAATCTTGTCGAGCATATGGGAATGCATGCAGGGGAGAAACCGCAGGAGTGCCCAGAATGTGGGGAAAGTTTCACTGATCTCCTTGTTCTTATTAAGCACAGAAGAATCCACACAGAGACAGCCTTGGAGGAATCTTCTTATTGGGAGAAGATACTCTGTTGAAACGTGCATGATCTTTTACTGCATATTAGAGAAATTATACTGTAGGAGATGCTTAGACTCAAGAAGGCCGTTAGGAAGTGTGAAATCGGAACCAGTGAGGGTGGTGAATGTCCTGCGTGAGTGTCTGGAGGAGGGATGGTGGTTGATAGGTTGAGGCTGAATCCCAGCGAGATAGAAGTACTGTTTCTGGGGGCCAGGGAGCAGGCAGATGTGACAGACACCCTGGTCCTGAATGGGGTAACTCTGCCCCTAAAGGACTAGGTGCGCAGCCTGGGGGTCATTTGGTCTCAAAACTGCTCATGGAGGCACAGGTAAATTCTGTGTTCAGGGCAGCTGTCTACCAGCTCCATCTGGTACCCTGGCTGAGACCCTACCTGCTCGCCAACTTTCTTGCCAAAGTGGTATGTGCTTTGATTATCTTCCGCTTGGACTACTGCAATGTGCTGTACGTGGGGCTACCTTTGAAGGTGACTCAGAAACTACAGGTAATCCAGAATGTGGACTGGTGTCTGGGAGCAGCCACTGGGAACATATAGCACTGGTTCTAAAGGATCTACGTGGTCTCCCAGTATGTTTCTAAGCACAGTTTAAAGTGTTGGTGTTGACCTTCCAAGTCCTAAGCAGCTTCTGCCCTGTATACCTGAAGGAATATTCCATCCCCATCATCCAGCCTGTAAACTGAGGTCCAGCACGGAGGGTCTTCTGGTGGTTCCCTCTCTGTGAGAAGTAAAGTTACAGGGAACCAGGCAAAGGGCCTTTTTTGTAGTGACTGTGGAACGCCCTCCCATCAGATGTCAAGGAAATACACAGCTATATGACATTCAGAAGGCACCTGAAGGCAGCCTTATATAGGGGATGCCTTTACTGTTTGATGTTTTACTGTGTTTTTATATTCTGTTGGAAACTACCCAGAGTGGATGGGGCAACCCAGTCAGCTGGGCGATGTACAAATAATAAAATTATTATTATTATTAGTGCTCCATGTACACAGTCGTATAAACATGTGTATGCATATATTTCCTTGGTTAATGATAAAATCAAGTAATATAATTTGCCTCCCACCTTTGAGTCCTAATGGAGTTCTGCTGGTGGTTTATATGGTGCAGCGATTGGAAACCTATAGCCCTCCGGATATGGTTGGCCTCCATCTGCCTCATCCATTAACCAGAGATAATGGGAACTGTAGATGTCTATCAATATCTGGTGGGTTCCTGATCCTTGATAAAGCAAATAATATACACATTGAAACTGCTGTCCTAGGCATGTCTACTGAGAAGTGAGCCCTGCTGGGCACAATAGGGCTTACTCTCAAGGAAGTGGGTAGAGGATTGCAGCCAAACAGTATTAATTAAAACCCTTTAATAAAGTACATGCAGACATGCTTTAATCTTTTTTTTTTTTAAAAAAAGTAAGCGTCTTTATGGCTTATGTAGAACACATTTCTGTAATAATGTGCCAGATGTTTTTGTGAGTGGATCTATCCTATATTGTCATCCCTTGTCTTGAAATGTTTTAACAGCAGGGTCAGGGCTGGTTCCATCAGAAATTTACGGAGTGGGGAAGGTTTGGGGGACCTCTGATTCGGGAAAGGGATTGGCCTTCATCACTGCCTCCTGTGGCAGTGAGTTCCATAGTTTAACTATGCGCTTTGTGAATAAGTGTTTCTCTTTCTCTGTCTGGAATCACCTTCCCTTCTGCTTTATTGGATGCCTCCAGTTTTCAGTGTTTATGAGAGACGGAGAAAAAATTATCCCTAGCCTAGCCATTTCTCCACACCATGCCTTTTTTCTAAACGAAGAAGCAGAAATCATTTCACCTTTTGCTCTGGCCTCTTGACCCTTTTGATTGTCATTTTCTAAACCTCGTCCACCTCTGCTATAGCCTTTTTTTGGTGAGGCAACCAGAACTGTATGCAGTACTCCAAATGCAGTCACACCACAGATCTGTATGACCGTGTTGTGATGCTAGCAGTTTTATTTTCAAAATCTTTCCTAATGATCCCTAACATGGAAATCAGCCATACACTGGGTTGACATTTTCATTGAGCTATCCTAATTTCCATTTCATCATCTTCATTTGTCTTGAGTCACCTTCTCCGGAATGCCTCCTGCGCATACTCCTGCCTTTTGGGAGTGGGGTGAAGAAGAAGACTATGATGTGGAATAATTTTAGCAGTTGCCATTTGTCGTACTTAATTCTTTATTTGTATGCAACCTTTGTTGCAACATCAACAAAATGCTCAATTTTTTGCTCGATACCTTGCAGCGTCAGGGAAAAAATAACGCAATTCACTCTCACCGTCACAAAAACATAACAAAATTTAAGAAGCCGTATGTAATAAATGAAAACGTATCAATAAATGTACAGTAAAATGAATCCTTGTGTAATTCCAAATTAGGTGTAACAATAAAAATACAAAGCAATAAAAATGCCAAGCACAGCAAAAATCAATTCTCCCCTAAATTAAATCTTGACCGCCAACAAAAATTCCTAAACCAAATTCCACTGTGATAGCTTGGTGATAGGTATAGGGGTCTCTCAACACCCTTAACAAAAACTTGGATTGTTTGGGGGAAGCCGTGACTGATTAAAAGTGGAATAATGCTGCTTTAAATGTATAGTGCAGATGGGGGCCTTTGAGACCCTGAAAAGAGTTAAAGTGACAGAGGCTTGTTCCTAGAGAGGCTTTGGAATACGGGATAGGAAAAGAGCCTCTTCCTGGCCCCGCCTCCTCCTTGGTCCAGGCAAATTTTGAACAGCTGCAGGAAGAGGTGAGTTGCACAGCAGGAGTCTATTAGGGAAAGCAGGGGGGAAGGGTGCCCAGAGGGGACAAACTTAGAAAGGGAGTGAAGGTGGGTGATCTTCTGGAACACAGGTGCTGGCAGTGGGTTTTCCTCCTTCCTATTCTTCTGGATTCCAAGTCCTGCCAAGTGAGTACATTACATTTACTTCGGTTCCCAGGCAGTTTAAAAAGTAAAGAAAATAAATCCAGGGTCTTGATATCCATTGTTTGAAAGTCCAGGAGTAGGTGCTGCTGAACTCAATGGGGCTTCCTTCTGCGTGGACACGTATAGGTCTGCCCTTGTTTTGTTTTGGGTTTTTTTGCAATATAAATTCAAACAGTTTCACAGTAGTCTTCATATCAATAATTACATTATTTCATAAATTGACTTCCCACCCCCACTTCCACAGTGTTTGTTTTTACTCATACCTTTTCACAGCCGTTATATCTTTATCTATTACAAAAACTTTCTCTGTTTACCGTTATATAGGATTGCCCTGTTAAGATGCTTACATTTAGAGGTAGGGGGCATATTTTGGATTGGATTGTTTTCCTCATTTATATTTGGCCTTTTTCTCCAAGGAACTAGTGGTGGAGTGTTCATTTATTTTTATTTATTTAATTGAATTTATATACCGCCCTTTCCCCGGGGGTCTCAGGGCGGTTCACAGAATAAAATCAAGATATAAAACCACAAAATACATAATAAAAATGAAAACAACAACCCAATAGCCACCCCCTCTGTTTTCTCCTCACAACAACCCTTGCAGCGGTTCTCAACCTTTGGGTCCCCAGATGTTGTTGGACTACAACTCCCATCATCCCTGAGCTCTGGCCTTGCTAGCTAGGGGTGATGGGAGTTGTAGTTCAACAACATCTGGGGACCCACAGGTTGAGAAAAGCTGCTAGAGGAAGGCCAGAATGAGAGACCGTGACCGAATGAAGGTCACTCAAGCCCCATCTGCACTATACTTTTATATCGCTGGGTTCCCCCTTTAAACAGTCATGGCGTCCCTCAAAAGATCATTGGAACTGCATTTTGTTAAAGGTTCCGAGGGTTGTTAGAGTACCCACAGAGCTAAAATCCTCAGGGTGGTTTAAGGAGAAACGCTTCTTCCCAAGGAAGGGCCTCCTCCAGATGCCATCTTACCTGGAAGTCCACTCCTGTGGTAGTGGTGCAGTTGATGGAGAGCTGGACTAAGACCTTGGAGACCACACAGCCATGATACTCACTGGGTGAGCTTGGGCTCAGTCACAATCTCTCAGCCTAAATTATCTCACAGGTCACACCCCTTGAACTTCTTGGGGAAAGGTGGGATAAAAATGCAGCAATAAAAGAGAAGGAATAATGAAGGAATTGGGCCTTTAGTGTTGTGGCACCTACTGTTTGGAATGCCCTCTTGTTGATTATTATAAAGGTGTTGCCTCTGTTGTCTTTTCGGCACCTACTGAATATCTTTCTCAGTCTGCCACTGGATTGGATTTTTTTTTTTTGGTGTGCGTATCACTTGTTGTTTGCTGCCCTGGGCTCCTTTGGGAAGAGGGATGGGGGTATAAATTTAATAAAGCAAAAAATTAAAATAAATAATTTCTTCAACTCAGCAGGTTATGAAAGATGACAACATGAAAGAGGTTAAAATGGAGAACCATGAAAAAGGAGCCAGGTTTCCATGAGGTCTGAGGCTGGTGAGGGTGGACAGACTCTTGGTGGGAGGACGATCTCATGTCCCCTGACCAAACTGCAGTCTGTGCAGGTAAGGGAACGGGGAGAACCCACAGCTATTTCTCAAATATTTTCTGATGCCACAATATTTAGAGTATAGCTGTTAAGAGATGCTATTCAAGAGACTAGGGCTGTGTGAATGCTACACCTTTAAAGCACAGTCTTTCCCTCAGTGAATTCTGGGCACTGTAGTTTGTTAAGGGTTGCTGATAATTGTAACTCTGTGGGGTAGAAACTACAATGCCCAGAATTCTTGTGAAGGAAAGAACGTTTCTTTCCTGTTTAGTGTATACACAGCCATATGCAATAAATGCCCCTTAGAGAGTCCTGAAGACAGGCTGCATACACACCATACGTTTAAAGCACCTTTAAAGCACACGACTCCCTCCAAAGAAGTCTGGGAATTGTAGTTTGTGAAGAGTGTTGGGAATTGTAGCTCTGTGATGGGGAAATTACAGTTTCTGCGATTCTTGGGGGGAAGCTGTGTGATTTAAATGTATGGTGTGTCTGTAGCCTTTAGGTGTCTTAGTACCATTGGCTTTGTTTAAAGATATACAAGCAGAATCATACTAAAGGGTTATGCCTACAAGGAACTTCCAAAAGGAACAGCTGTGGCAGAATCATGCTCCAAGGCTGCAATCTCACTTTCAGTTACTTCCAGCTAGAAACCTCCCTTGCTCCTTCTCTCTCTCTCTCTCTCACACACACACACACAAACAAACAAACAATCTATCAAATAGATATAGAAATAGCTCTGCAAACACATCCCATCTAGCCACAGTAGGAAGCACCACTGCGGCCTCTGAACACCACTTGTTGGGAATCACATCTGGTGATCACTGTGAGAACAGGATGCTAGACTAGATGGATCACTTAACTTTAAAAATAAGTAAGTCCCTAACTGGCATAATAAAATAACACGAAAACAATAAAATAGCTTCCTGAGAACAGCAAATCAACATTACTGAAAGAGGAATTCAGAAATGGTAGGGACTGATCTTATGGGTCAAGGAAAGTCTGGGCGAAAAGATACCTATTTGCAAGATTGCACCTGCTTAGAGATAATGAAGTCTTATATAAATTGTCTCAATAAACGAAGTGACAGAAGTTTCTTCTTCTTCTTCTTCCTCCTCCTCCTCCTCCTCTTCTTCTTCTTCTTCTTCTTCTTCTTCTTCTTCTTCTTCCCCCATTTGGCTTGATTTCCCCAGCCACGCTGGTGGCTTCCAGCAAAATATAAAAAATAATAAAGTGTCAGAATTATGCTTCATGTGTGGTGGGGGGAAAGTCTTCCACAGTGCAGTGGCAAAGTCAGAAAATGTACGTTTTTGGCTCACTACCGTGTGATACTCTGTAGGGTGCAGTGTCATGAGTAAAAATTTCCTCAGATCGTTGATGTGTTATTACAGGGTCTCTTCAGGGGTAGGCAGTCTTTCAGGTAACCCGGCCTCCAAATTATTCAGAGCTTTTATGTGTGTGTCACAAAAGACCTTGAATGTGGCCTGGTAGCTGATGGACAGTCATTGCAGCTCCCTAAGTGTGGATATAATATGTATAATAATACTTAATAGTATTGTGAAGCTGCATGACACTGGTGTTTTATACCTGAAGGCTGGTATAAAAAGTACTTAAAAACAAATAATAAATACCACTCAGCAATAGTCCCTTCAGCGTAGCTTGACTGTCTCACTTTGCCTCAGGCTTCATGGTCGCTAGGCCAAGGCTGTGGGCACATCATTTAAAGCACAGGGTCCTACACACCCCAAAGAATCCCAGGCTGATAGGAATTGTAGCTCTGTGAGAGGCAAACTGAAGTTCCCAGGATTTTTTGGAGAGGAAAATGTGCTTTAAATGTATGGTGCGTATTCAGTCTCTGTCTCTCTTTGGTAATTGTTTCATGACCTCTGGATGTAGGGTGTCGACTCACAGTTGAATCTCTCTTTCCTTCAGATATGGAGTCTATGAATGAGGAAGCGAACAAGAACCCAGAGCTGAAGAGCTCTGAGCTGAGGGAGCCACTCCAGGCAGCAGTGCAGACAGCCAAAGAGCAAGATACCCAGTGCGTTGCGAAGGTGGAAGCTGTTTTGAGACAACGGGTGGGAAATCCAGGCAGGATAGTAAATAAGACGATTAGATGTTCAGAAAGCAGCAAAGACTTGGATGAAATCTCAGCCAAGGAGGCAAAAGGGAAGGATGAGGGACAAGTAACCTCAACAGAATGCGAGAACAGCTCCTCCATTGCAGAAGAGAGGCCGTATAAGTGCTCAGACTGTGGGAAAACCTTCTGTAGGAATGCTAACCTTATTAGACATTATAGAACCCACACAGGGGAGAAACCCTATGAATGCACCGTATGTGGGAAAAGCTTCTCTCAGAAAGGAAATCTTGCTATGGCATGAGAGAATCCATGCAGAAGAGAAGCCGTACAAGTGTTTGCATTGTGGGAAATCCTTCTGTAAGAACGCCGACCTCCTTCGACACCAGCGCAATCATACAGGGGAGAAACCGTATCAGTGCTCCGTGTGCGGGAGAAGCTTCAGCATGAATTCTGACTTTATTATACATTTCAGAACCCACACGGGAGAGAAGCAACATGAATGCTCAAAATGCGGCAAAAGCTTCAATAAGAAATGTAACCTGGTTGCACACGCCAGGACCCATAGCGGGGAGAAACCGTACAAATGCTCAGAGTGCGAGAAATCTTTCTCTACAAACTCGGAAGTCTTTAAACATTACAGAACCCACTCAGAAAACAAACCTTACGACTGCTGGAACTGTGGCAAGAGGTTCAGGCAAGAATCGCTTTTAGCCGCACATAGGAGAATCCACACTGGGGAGAAGCCATACGAATGCTCAAGCTGTGGGCAGAAATTTACTCGGAAAGGAAACCTCGCTCTTCACGAGAGAATCCACACAGAAGAGAAACCATACAAATGCTTGGAATGCGGCAAATCGTTCCAAGCAAACTACAAACTTATTGCACATCAGAGACTCCATGCAGGAGAGGCTCCATATGAATGTCCGGACTGCGGCAAAAGCTTCATCCGAAAAGGGAGACTCACAGCACACCTACAGTTCCACTCAGAGAAGAAACCATATGAATGTTTGGATTGTGGGAAATCCTTTGTTATGAACTCCGATCTCCTTAGACATCAGAGAACCCACACGGGCGAGAAACCATATGAATGCTCAGACTGTAAGAAAAGCTTTAGCCGGAAAGATGGCCTTCTCAAACATATAATCATCCATTCAGGGGAGCAATCGCAGACGTATGAGAAACCCTATGGATGCTTGCACTGTGGCAGAAGCTACAATTACAAGCAAAATCTCATTATCCATATGAGAAACCACAGCGGAGAAAAGCCCTATCGGTGTTCAGACTGCGATAAGGCCTTTAATACAAACTCTGAGCTTACTAAACATCGGAGAATGCACACAGGAGAGAAACCGTACAAGTGCTCTGAGTGTGGGAAAAGCTTTAGCCAGAAAGGAGACCTCATTGTCCATGTGAGGATCCACACAGGGGAGAAACCATATAAATGTACCGATTGCGGCAAATGTTTTAGCCTTAGTTACCTTGTGATCCGCCACCAGCAAATGCACACAGGGGAGAAACCGTTTCTGTGTTCTGAATGTGGGAAATGTTTTGGTATACGCTCAAAACTTATTCGGCACCAGTTGACTCACACAGGAGAAAAACCATACAAGTGCCTGGACTGCGGTCAGTGTTTCACTCGTAAAACGAACCTTTTCAAACATATGGCAGCCCATTCAGCGAAGAAGCCATAGAAATCCCCTGGAGCAGGCATTGGGTTGGTCCATGATTGCTATAGTTGTATTCCTCACAAGTGAATGCACACAGAGCAAAGCAGTATTCCTAATGGGGGAAAGTTTCAATCTCTCATCAGCCTCAAAGTAGCTTATATGGCACAGTTAATTTTCTAAGAGCAATAAGATCCTTCAGGAAGCACTTAATAAGCAAGGGTCAATTAAGGAATTGTGTACTCCAAAGGGAGGTAATTGAAATACAGAGCATAATCATAATAAAATACAGTCGTACCTTGAAAGTCGAACGGAATCCATTCCAGAAGTCCGTTTGACTTCCAAAACATTTGGAAACCAAAGCGCGGCTTCTGAAACTCTGGAACTTTCTGCAGCCAATCGAAAGCCCCGTTGGATGTTCGGGTTCCATAGAATGTTCGCAAACCAGAAGACTCACTTCCGGCTTTGTGGCATTCGGGAGCCAAAACGTCCGAGTACCAAGGCGTTTGAGATCCAAGGTACAACTGTATGTTCTATAAAGATGAAAATATAGATCTTAAAACTGAAATATTTGTGTGAAAATGAATGAGAGTTATTCAGCAGGAACTAGCTTTGGAAGGCTACAAATGGCTCTGGGCTAGGAGACCACCACAAATTATATCTGTAGATTGGAAGGAATATATATATATATAAAGGTAAAGGTACCCCTGCCCGTACGGGCCAGTCTTGCCAGACTCTAGGGTTGTGTGCTCATCTCACTCTATAGGCCGGGAGCCAACGCTGTCCGCAGACACTTCCGGGTCACGTGGCCAGCGTGACAAGCTGCATCTGGCGAGCCAGCGCAGCACACGGAAACGCCGTTTACCTTCCCGCTAGTAAGCGGTCCCTATTTATCTACTTGCACCCGGGGGTGCTTTCGAACTGCTAGGTTGGCAGGCGCTGGGACCAAACAACGGGAGCGCACCCCGCCGCGGGGATTCGAACCGCCGACCTTTCGATCGGCAAGCCCTAGGCGCTGAGGCTTTTACCCACAGCGCCACCCGCGTCCCCATATATATATATATATACATATATATGCAGGTTTTGGTGTCCTCGGGTGTCTTCCCGTGTAAAAGTTGGGGTGTCTAGGCGACGTTTCGACGAGGTCTCACTCGTCATCTTCAGGCTGGTGCTTTCGGCTTCTTGTTACTGGAACAGAGCAGGATCTCAGTGTTTGAGTTCCTATAAATACTGTTGAGGGGGTGTGGTGTATAGCCTCCAATGTTCTGGGCAGAGAGGAAGTTCCCAGGCTAGTGTGCCTTTTCTTCTTTTGTTCCTTAATTACTTGAGGGATATCTTGAGTGATTTCTTGAGTGATATTATGAGTACCACTTAGGTGGGTCATTAGGTGTGGATTAGTTGCTAAAGCCTTCGTGTCTTGACCTCTTGAACTTTGTGAAGAGTTTTTCTGAGAAGATGGTTGTACTGCACTTAGTTGTGCTCTGGCTTGGCTTCGTGTATAGGGGCGAGCTGTGGTTTTGTGCCCTGTGCCAGCCAGATCTGTGTAGGGATTGCAGGGGGGTGCAGCATCCGGAGGTGCCACCATGGTTTGGCTGCTGGATGGTGTCTGTAATTTATCTGTGGAGAGGGTCTGGGTTTGGGTCTGGTGTGGTTGATTGGTGATGGCGTTCTGTGTGCCTCTGGATCTGGTGTGCAATATCAACAGTATCTGATTCTTTATTGACTTTCTCAGACACACACATTGGTAATTCAAACTTATTGCTTTACTGTCCAAAATGTTATCTTAGAATGACCGGGTATTTATTACCAAATGATCCAAAAATATTATTATTGATCTATTTACAAGGGTTAGTAGTGGAGATGGATCTGGCTCTGGTTTCGTATTTGCTGAAAGCAGCAAAAAGAATAATTACTAAAGCGTGTAAGATGAAATTGGCACCATCGATTCTGACTGGTCTGGAAAGTTAGTGAATATCGTAATACTATTATTACCGGTCATTTATTACTTGCTCTTCACCAGGACCAAGGGTAGGTTACAACAATTTAAAATTCTTAAAAACAGTCAAAACAGATTGCAATCACAGGAGTAGGGAAATACACATTTTGAGTGTCCAAGGCTGGTGTAAAGAGATGGTAAGGAAATACATGAACAAACATTTATAAAGAAAAAGGGATCCTCCCAGAAAGAAGAGGGCAAGGAGAAAAAGGAAGTGCAAAGCCCGCTGAGGGGGAGTTAGGGCTGGTCCTCACCCTAACCAGGGCTGGATTAACCATTAAGCAAAATAAGGCCATGCTTAGGGCATCAAGGTTAGAGAGGCATTACAGAAATTTTCCATTGCTGGATTTACCATGGGCCATATGATGCAGCTGAACCAGGTTCCACAAAGAAGGAAAATGGAAAAAAAATCATATTATATATACAATAGTAAAAATAAATAAAAATAAATATAAAGTGGAAGTATGCAAAAATAAACATTATTCTCCATCTTACTGTAGGCTTTGTTTCATTTCAGAATTATTTTTTTACAGTTTATTATTGTTCATATTGTTTATGAAGGACCAGGTGCGCAGCCTGGGAGTCATTCTGGACTCACAGCTGTCCATGGAGGCACAGGTCAAATCTGTGTCCAGGGCACCTGTCTACCAGCTCCATCTGATATGCAGACTAAGACCCTATCTGCCCGCGAACTGTCTCGCCAGAGTGGTGCATGCTCTGGTTATCTCTCGCTTGGACTACTGCAATGCGCTCTATGTTGGGCTACCTTTGAAGGTGACCCGGAAACTACAACTAATCCAGAATGCAGCAGCTAGACTGGTGACTGGGAGCGGCTGCCGAGACCACATAACACCGGTCTTGAAAGATCTACATTGGCTCCCAGTACGTTTCAGAGCACAATTTAAAGTGTCGGTGCTGACCTTTAAAGCCCTAAACAGCCTCGGTCCAGTATACCTGAAGGAGCATCTCCACCCCCATCGTTCTGCCCAGACACTGAGGTCCAGCGCCGAGGGCCTTCTGGCGGTTCCCTAACTGAGAGAAGCCAAGTTACAGGGAACCAGGCAGAGGGCCTTCTCGGTAGTGGCACCCGCCCTGTGGAACGCCCTCCCACCAGATGTCAGAGAGAACAACAACTACCAGACTTTTGGAAGACATCTGAAGGCAGCCCTGTTTAGGGAAGCTTTTAATGTTTGATGGATTACTATATTTTAATATTTTGTTGGAAGCCTCCCAGAAGCCTTCCCAATATGACTGTGGGAAACCAGCAAGGGCCTGAGCACAAGGGCCTTCTCTCCTGCAGTTTCTCGCACTTTGTATTCAGAAGAATTAGTGCCTCTGACAGTTGAATGCAGAGGACTTTGTGGAGGAGTCTGGTTGGCTGTGGTGAGAAGCAGGATGCAGGAATCAAGAGGTTTTGGGTTGGATCCAGCAGCGCTCTGGACACATATCCCACCCCCCGAATTCTTACCTGTGTTTTTGGGGACTGCCGTGCCATCTCACTTTCTTGTGTCCTTTATTTATTTATATGTATCTGATAAATATGGTTATTTATCTCCTGCCTTCCAAGACAGCTCATTGTGATGATGATAGTAGGCTTCAATAATATCAAAAGTTGAAAACCTGTGGAGGCAAAACATCTAAAACCAGCAAAAATGATTCATAATAGCCTTGGAGAAAAAGGAAGAATCTCCCATGACCTTTTTTAAAATCAGGAAAGTTGAGAGTTTCACATGAATGAGGCCGCCATTGAGAAAGATTGCTGCCTGTCAAGCTAATATTGAACGGAATAGTAAGGCAACTTCTTATGCTCTAATGCTACATATCTCTTATTCTGATATTTTATCAGATTCATTAAGTATGAACTTCTAAGAATTGTTGTGAAAAAATAATAAAACGTTTGAATTTGCAGCTTTAAATTACGACCGCACAAAAGTGGTGACATATTAAAGTGTGTTTATGATGCTGGTCCACTTTTTATTATTATTATTAAAGTAAAGTCATTTCATAATGTTTTGCAACATTGGCAGACCTGGTCAATCCAGGATTGTCTCCCCGCAGTCCCACCCCAGAGACTCTGTAATACTGGAACCCTTGGAGATATGTATTCAAAATCCCACAACGCCATTAAGCTCAGTGGGTGATCTTGGTCCAGATGCAGAGTCTCAGCCTGGCCTACCTCACAGGGTTGTTGAGTGGATAGAGTTGGGACAGAGCATGAACCTCAGGCTTGTTGTAGGAATGGTCTATTATCTGTCTGTCTGTCATCTATCTATTCTGTAAACCACCCTGAGACCCCCAGGTGTAGGATGGTATATAAATTCAATATCTATCTATCTATCTATCTATCTATCTATCTATCTATCTATCTAACAAATAAATTCAGTGAATCTTAATTAGGTGCCTTAGGTCAACAAAAGGTTTTTAAAAAACCTAGAATTTCCCCTTTTGTTTGTGATGCAAGAGTTTAGGGCATTTTTGGCTGCAGAGTTGTATACACAGGCGAGAAACTGCTCATGCAGCCCAGAGGGTCACAGAATCATAGAACTGTAAAGTTGGAAGGGACCCCAAGGGTCATCTAGTCCAACCCCCTTGGCAAAGCAGGAATCTCAACTAAAGAAAAACAAAACCAGCACTTCTGAATTTTGCTTGGTTTTTTTTGGGACAAGCCATAGACAAAGTAGCACAGGGCACAGAGTGACAGCAGCGGCAGCGGTGAGCTTTTTTGCCATGCAGACTTCCAGAAGGTGTTAAAGTGAGAGAGAGGCTTGTTCCTAGAGAGGCCCCGGGAATGCTAGGCAAGGCAGATGGGAAAAGGGCCTATTCCTGGCCCGCCTCCTTGGTCCAGGGGAGGGCAACTTTTGAATGGCTGCAGGAGGAGGAGGAGGAGGTGGTGAGTTGCCCTGCTCCAGGAGCCTGTTTCGGCAATGCAGAGCAAGAGGGGAAGGGTGCCTGGAGGGGACAAATTTAGGAGGAGAAAGAGCTGCATTCTGGTTTCATATCGATAGGGAATAGGCGCCTCTCTCCCCTCTTTCTTTTGTAAGCCAGTGGCAGAGCATCCGCTTTGCATGCAGAAGGTCCTGGTTCAAGCCTCGGGGGCACATCCTGGGAGGGTTGCCTGAAACCCTGGAGCGACCTTGCCAGTCATTGTCCTGAGCTACGTGGACCCGTGGTCCTGTGGTCCTTATCAGGGTTAGAAACTCCGATATATAAGCTAGGTGCCAAATGGCTCCTTAAACCAAGGTTGCAGTTGCCAAAATGGAATGTTTTCGTTGCCCTTTGGGGGCAAGAAGCCTCTAAAGTTTTATTTTTCAAATGATGAACTGACTGTGACTGATTCTCAGATAAACATCTGGCTAGTTCAAATGACAGGCTAGCTTAAGAGCTTTGAGAACTTAAAGAAGAAAAGGCGTTTGATCCAGGGACAGGCCACAGAGATACAGTCATACCTCAGGTTACAGACGCTTCAGGTTGCGTTTTTTCGGGTTATGGACGCACTGAAACCCAGAAGTACCAGAACAGGTTACTTCCGGGTTTCAGCGGCCGCGCATGCGCAGAAGCGCTGAATTGCAACCTGCTCGTGCGCAGACGCAGCACAGTGGGTTGCGTTTGCTGCTGGTTGCGAACCTGCCTCCCGCACGGATCACGTTCATAACCCAAGTGTCCACTATATTGGTCTATTCCGACCTCTTTTTCTTAAGGGTGACTGCTCCTGCTCAGGCTGCAGGGTTCCAGAACGTCACTCCGATTGTGCAGATAAAATATAACTGATAGAAGTTCACAGGGTTGGGTGAAAACAGTCCCTATCCAATGATCCCCAGGTGGTGGAGATGTCAGGCACCATCTTGGTGCCCATATGTTGTTTGTTTGCTTGTTTGTTCCATTTCTATACTGCTTTATAAAGGTAAAGGTAAAGGTACCCCTGCCCGTACGGGCCAGTCTTGCCAGACTCTAGGGTTGTGCGCTCATCTCAACTCTATAGGCCGGGGAGCCAGTGGCTGTCCGGGAGACACTTCCGGGTCACGTGGCCAGCGTGAACATCGCTGCTTCTGGCGAGCCAGAGCCGACACAACAGGAAACACCGTTTACCTTTCCCGCTAGTAGCGTGTCCCTATTTATCTACTTCACCCGGGGGTGCTTTCGACTGCTAGGTTGGCAGGCGCTGGGCCTCGAACAGACAGGAGCGCACCCCGCCGCAGGGATTCGAACCGCCGACCTTTCGATCGGCCAAGTCCTAGGTGCTGAGGCTTTACCCCACAGCGCCACCTGCTGTCCCATACGCTTTATATTTTTAAGAAAAATCTCAAAGCAGTTTACAGCATATTAAAACATCAGTAAAATAATCCAGAATCAAACATTTCAGAAGAAAGTCAAATATAGAGTATACAGTCAAAGCAACATAATTAACAGAACTAAAATATTATCTTAAAGATTTCAAAATAAAACATTACAAAGGAGGTCAACTACAGAATACATTTAACAGAAACAAAGTTAACAAAACTCTTATTTTTTTTAAAACCAATGCTAAGTGAAGTCAAATATAAAATGCAAATTTATTACAGCATAACTAACAAGAGAATAAAATATTATCATAAGCATGGCATGGCTGTTTGGCAGGCACAAAAAGATGGGGCAAAAGAATCCAATAGGGGTTTGTTGTCAGGCATAGCGATGTTCCTCCGGTCTCACCAGGCGCCTCTTTAGTAGAGCTGGTGAGTCTGGGCCCTGCCCCTAGGCTAGGTGGAAAGGGCCTTGCAGGGAGTGGCCTTCAAGACTCAGGGCCAGGCGATGTTGTTGTGACTACAACTCCCATCATCCCTGATCACTGGTCATGCTGACTGGGGCTGATAGGAATTGCAGTTCAAAGCCTCTGGAGGGGAAGGGTGCTAGCTCAGAAAACAGAGAATGAGCATCTCGTTTGCATTCAGAAGGCACCACGGTCAATACCAGGTGGGGCTGGGAATGTCCCCTGCCTGAAGCTCTGGGGGGCAACTGCCACTCACACAACAGCACTTGTGAAGCAATTGGCATTGTGTCTTTGGCTAGAGCAGGGGCAGGCAACCTAAGTCCTTCTAAATCCGGCCCAGGAATCAGCGTGTTTTTACATGAGTAGAATGTGTCCTTTTATTTAAAATTCATCTCTGGGTTATTTGTGGGTCATAGGAATTCGTTCATTATTTTTTTTCTTCAAAATATAGTCCAGCCCACCACATGGTCTGAGGGACGGTGGACCAGCCCACGGCTGAAAAAGGTTGCTGACCCCTGGGCTAGAGGCAAAGCATAGCCATCAGGGTGGGTAGCTACTGATAGCTTTATCCTCCCTGAATTTACCTAACCCTCTTTTAAAGCCATCCAAGATGATCCTACGCATATTAACTTGGAAATACCTCCCAGAGCAGGATGCGGGTGGCACTGTGGGTTAAACCACAGAGCCTAGGACTTGCCGATCAGAAGGTTGGCAGTTCGAATCCCCGCGAAGGAGTGAGCTCCCGTTGCTCGGTCCCTGCTCCTGCCCACCTAGCAGTTCAGAAGCACGTCAAAGTGCCAGTAGATAAATAGGTACCGCTCCGGTGGGAACGTAAACAGCGTTTCCATGTGCTCCTCTGCTTCGCAAGAAGTGGCTTAGTCATGCTGGCCACATGACCCGGAAACTGTACGCCAGCTCCCTCGGCCAATAAAGCGAGATGAGCGCCGCAACCCCAGAGTCGTCCGCGACTGGACCTAATGGTCAGGGGTCCCTTTACCTCCCAGAGCAATTTCCCAAGTTCTCTGGGAAGGAAGATTGATAGTTCTAACTGCTCGGGAAATTGTAGTTCTGTGGGGGGAATAGAGGGTCTCCTCTAACAGCTCGCCTCACCATGAGGAGAGGACAGTTCCCATGATTCTTTGAGAGAGGCCACAGCTGTTAGGAGTGGCATGTATGGTGTGGATGTGGCCTCCAACTCCCATCATAGCATCATAGAATTGTAGAGTTAGAAGGGACCACATAGGTCCAACCCCCTGCAATGCAGGAATCTTTTGCCCAGCGTGTGTCTTGAATCCCTGACCTTGAGGTTAAGACCTTGAGTCTCATGCTATACCAACAGAGCTTATCAGCATTGCCAATGATCAGGGGTGACAGGAGATATAGTTAGCAACATCTGGAGGACCTTTGGTTTTGCAACCTCCAGATTTAGGACTCACTCAGGAATTTTTTTTTCTTCTATAAGGAAACTCTGAGCAGAAAAGATGGCCAGGATCATGTGCACAAAAGCCCTTGGCTAAGGAAACAAACTGGGACCAAAGAGAGGGTCCCTCAGCATGGAGTGAAGGCAGAAGGCAAAGGCATCCAGAAACAGACATGGATGAGCCCATTCTGTGTGCAAAAAACTTCAAAGATTTAGATGCCATCGCAGCCAAGGAGGAGATTGAGGAAAATGACAAGCAGGTGGCATTGACCAAATGCGAGATGGACTCTCCAAGGTCTACATGCACCCACATGGAAGGGAAACCACATAAGTGTCCAGACTGCGGAAAGTCTTTCAGCATGAATTCTCACCTTATTAGTCATCAGAGAACCCACACGGGGGAGAAACCGTACGGGTGCTCAGCGTGTGGTAAGAGCTTCTCTCAGAAAGGGCACCTTGCGGTCCACGAGAGGATCCACATGGAAGAGAAACCATACAAATGCTCAGAATGTGGGAAGTCTTTCTGTAAGAACGCTGACCTCACCAGGCACCACCGAAACCACACCGGGGAGAAGCCGTACAAATGCGCCGATTGCGGGAAGTCGTTCAGCATGAACTCCGACTTCGTTAGGCATTACAGAACCCACACAGGAGACAAAATGTATGAATGCTCGGACTGTGGGAAGAGCTGTGGAACAAAAAGCCACCTGGTCGCTCACCTGAGAATGCACACTGGAGAGAAACCGTTCGCCTGTGCGGTCTGCGGGAAGAGCTTTTCTCAGAAAGGGAACCTTGTCATTCATCAGAGACTCCACACCGAGGACAAGCCCTATAAGTGCTCGGACTGCGGGAAGTCCTTCTGTAAAAATGCCGATCTTGTCAGACATCGCCGAAACCATACAGGAGAGAAACCGTACATGTGCCTGGAGTGCGGGCGATCCTTTAGTATGAACGCTGACTTTATCAGGCATTACAGAACCCACACGGGGGAGACGCAGTACAAATGCTCCGAGTGCGGCAAAAGCTTTAGCAAGAAGTGCAACCTGGTGACACACGTGAGAAGCCACACGGGTGAGAAGCCCTACAAATGCTCAGCGTGTGGGAAAAAGTTCTCCCTCAAAGGGAACCTTGTAGCCCACGAGAAAACCCACACGAAAGAGAAGCCGTGCAAGTGCTTGGACTGCGGGAGGTCCTTCAGCGTGAACTCTAAACTCGTTGAGCACCAGCGACTTCACACACGAGAAAAACCGTACGAATGCTCAGACTGTGGCAAAAGATTCCGCTGGATCGGAAACTTCATGTCACACATACAGTTCCACTCGGGGGAGAAACCCTACGAGTGTTCGCTGTGCGGGAAATCCTTCATTATACAACACGACCTTGTTCGGCACCAGAGGACTCACACGGGAGAGAAGCCCTACAGGTGTGCAGAGTGTGGGAAAACGTTCAGTCAGAAGGGGAGCCTTGTTGTACATGAGAGAATCCACACGGGAGAGAAGCCGTACAAGTGCGCGGATTGTGGGAAATGTTTCAACCTCAGCTCTTGCCTCATCCGACATCAGCTAACCCACACGAGGGAGAAACCCTACAAATGTGCAGACTGCGGGAAAAGTTTTGGCGTCAGCTCTCGCCTCCTCCAACACCAGCAGATCCACACAGGAGAGCGGATTCATAAGTGCTCGGAATGCGGGAAGAGCTTCGCTCACAGAAAAACTCTTGTCAAGCACATGCAAACACACACACAGGAGGAGAAGTCACATACTTGCTTGGTGTGTGGGGAAAGTTTCATGGACCCCACAGCTTTTAGCCAGCATAAGAGAGTCCACGCTGAGGAGAACTCCTATGAAATCACCATGTTGTGACAAGCATTTGTGTATCGGCCTTTATAGAGGAAATAACCCAGAGGAAGAATGAGGATATCACATGAGATAATATTCATTAGAAGGGAGGACTTTTAAATGCTCTGATTGTGGAAAGAGATCATGAGGGATTTATTTATTTTTTACTTATTAGGGAACAAGTATCTTTTCTGTGAGATCATAATTCTTTCAATCTGCTCCCTCACCTGAACGCCACCACAAGGGCTAACGGAGAACCACCTTGCCCTGAGGGGAGAAGGAAGAAAATAGCCTGAGGACTGCTGTTACTCTGGTCAGGGGAAGCTATGGTTTGAAGCTGTTGCGTCAGCAGTGATTCCATTTGGACTTAATTTAGATATTTTGCTAAACATCTCAAGTACTGTCTGTCTTGTTAGAAATGACAAACTGGTGGTTTTAAGACGACTTCTAAGGTATTCCTGATATTGCTGTGGCATAGGAGCCAATTTCTAGGGGCCAAGGTGTCTTCTCCCCCCCACTCCATAAAATATTTCAGGGGCCGGGTGCCCACAAAGTTGATGGGCATCGCCATTCAAATGGTGTGTGCACACCACATCATGTGATCAATTACAGTGGTGCCCCGCAAGATGAATGCCTCGCAAGACGAAAAACTCGCTAGACGAAAGGGTTTTCCGTTTTTTGAGTCGTTCCGCAAGACGAATTTCCCTATGGGCTTGCTTCCCTATGGGCTTGCGAGTTTGTTTCCTTTTCTTAAAGCCGCTAAGCCGTTAATAGCCGCTAAGCTGCTAAGACGTTAATAGCCGCTAATAGCCGCTAAGCCGCTAATAGCCGTGCTTCGCAAGACGAAAAAACCGCAAGATGAAGAGACTCGCGGAACGGATTAATTTCGTCTTGCGAGGCACCACTGTAGGTAAGGCAGGGCTTACCTGCCTCTACCATGTTTTATTCAAGCTAGAACCCCTGTGCTACGGCGAGGAAGCCCTGAGGCTACATATTTGAAAAAAATATGCTTTTTATATTACAAGACTGCCTTCTGAAATAGCTTTGTTTTTACTCACTTTTACAGGTAGTTGGGGTGGTTCAATTTTAGGTAACGTCCAAAACCTTACCTGTTTTAATCTGTCATTTGTGTGGCTTGTGTGTACGTTGACACAATTTAGTTCAGTTTAGGGAAAAAGAAATTGGATGCCACAGGAAAGACGTTACATTAAGTAATTGGGTATAATGTGTCCTGTAACACCATTAAAAGCTTACTTCCTTTTTTATGAATATCAAGGGTCATTCTAGAGATCAGGCTGCAATCCTATACACCAGGGCTTTCCAAACAGTGTGTCACGACACATTGGTGTTTTGGCTGCAGTGTGTAGGTGTGTCGCATGAACGCTCCCCGCACTCCTCCCGGGGCTGGAAAAGGGTTAGTTTAACCTCCGGTTTGCTAGTAAAGCTGAATAATCATATCACAAAATGATGCTGCCAACATGAAAAGTACACATGAAGTATCTGGAAAAACATTCCATTTCACTCAGTGGTCTTTACCTCTGAGTAGACATGTAAAAAACTTGGAAAAAACAAACAACCCTTCAGCCACTTTGAAGAACCGAAAGGAAAACAGAGAGGAGGAGGAGGAACGACAGTTTCACTGACTACGGACAATATAGCTTAAATTTCTGGCGAGGGCTGGGGAACCTGTGACCCTCCAGATGTTGTTGGACTACAATTCCCATCATCCCTGACCATTGGCCATGCTGGCTGGGGCTGATGGGAGCCTTTGTCCATCCTCTGTAGTTTGTTAAATGTGCTTGAGAGCTGGTAGGAGACCCCTCACAGAGCCACAATCCCCAGCACCCTTAAACTACAGTTCCCAGGATTCCAAAAGGGAAGCCATGACTGTTGAAAATAGTGTAAGGGGGTTTTAAAGTCATGGTTGTGGATGTGACCATTGACATATTAGCAGTGAGATTATCTTGGATCACTTCATAGTATAAGTTGTTCTGGGATACTTCCCCAGTGTTACTGCATTAATGCTATTTGGAGGGGCACTTGCAAAAAGAAAAGAATGGGCTCCGAAAATAAATCAGAACATATTGCAAAAATTATTATTACTATTACAGGATTTCAGCAGGAATCTGCACCTACCGTATTTACCCGAATGTAATGAGCACCTTTTTTTGGCCAAAATACGTCGCAAAAATTAGTGTTTGATGGAGCATTTACATTCGCTAGAAAATACTTTTTGGGTTTCAAAGTTTTGAAAATTGACGTGCGCATTAGATTCAATATCACATTAAAAAGGTAAAGGTACCCCTGCCCGTACGGGCCAGTCTTGACAGACTCTAGGGTTGTGCGCCCATCTCACTCAAGAGGCCGGGGGCCAGCGCTGTCCGGAGACACTTCCGGGTCACGTGGCCAGTGTGACATCGCTGCTCTGGCGAGCCAGAGCCGCACACGGAAACGCCGTTTACCTTCCCGCTAGTACAGTGTTTCCCAACCACTGTTCCGCGGCACACTAGTGTGCCGCGAGATGTTGCCTGGTGTGCCGTGGGGAAAATTCGAAAGATTTTTTTTTTTGTAAAAGTCAAATTAGGTCCTAATCTATCCCTCAAGCGCCTCTTGTCCGTTATTGTGACGCATGAAGCGTGTTCCCGTCCACTCCCCGCCCTCCCTTGCCTCTCTCTCTCTCTCTGTGGCGCTCTCCGCCGCTTCCTGCTGGGCATGCGCAGCTCACCTCGCGCTTCCATTCCGACCCTCCTTCCCCCGACTACCCCGCCGCTCCGTTCCTTTCTCTTTCTCGCGTGTCAGAGAGCGGCGGCGCGAGCGTGGCGGTTCCCTCAGGGCTGACGAAGGGCTCGAGGAGGAGGAGGCAGGACGTGGAGGCGGAGAAAGCGGCGGCGGCCACCCCCCACCTCCGGCTCGAGGCCCGCGTAGAAAGCTGAGGGGGAGAGATAGATAGAGGTGGGCGGCGGCGGCGGCGACCACGACCAACCGCCACAGTAGTTGTAGCGGTGGCGACGGCGAGCAGGGACTCCCGCTCTCTCTCCGTCGTGTCTCTCTCTCTCTCTCTCCCCCGGGCCCATCCGTTGAGTCTCCCGCGCGCCTCGGCTACAAGATGAGCATCGAGATCCCGCCGGGTCTGACTGAGTTGCTGCAGGGCTACACGGTGGAGGTGCTGCGGCACCGGCCGCCGGACCTGCTGGCCTTCGCCGCCGAGTACTTCGCCAAGCCGCGCTCTCCTTCCTGCCTCGCTTTGCTGCCTCCTCCCCCCACCCCAAAGCTTGGAGGTTCCCCGGCGCCGACCCGCAGGTTTGACCCCCTTCTCACACCTGTTCGCGCTCCTTGCACGGAATGGGGCGGATGGGGAGGAACGGGGCTCGCCGCTGCCTCCGCTCGCCCTCCCCCCCTCCGCCGGCGGTCCCGCGATTCTTGGCTTTTTGGCGGTTGGCACAGAAGGAAGGCAAGGGGGAGGGAAAAAAATTGAATCTTACACTTTCGTGCGTCCCTCCCGGCGTGACGCTGCGCGCTGACGTCACAGGGCTGTAATGGTGGTGTGCCTCGAGATTTTTTTCATGAAACAAGTGTGCCTTTGCCCAAAAAAGGTTGGGAAACACTGGCCTAAGGGATAGGAAGCTGGGGAGACTGGCTCTGGGTGTAACCTGCCATATGCATATTCTTGCATGTCCGGGGGTTGGACTAGATGATCCTCAGGGTCCCTTCCAACTCTGTGATTCTATGTAGAAGTCAAATTACTTGTCCCTCCAGCCCCTGCCTTCGCCAGCCTGGTGTCTTCAGCTCCAGGCGTTTTGGGCTACAACTTCCATCAGTCCAAAATCCCTTGACAGAGGAACGGTCTCCCTTGGGAGGTTGTGTGTGTTCACATCTTTAAAAAACCCATTGGAAAGTAGGATCTCGATGATTAATTGCTCCTTATTGCCCTATGCGGCTTAGGACCCACGTACCTACGGGGCCGCCTCTCCTGCTATGCCCCGCGGAGGACCTTAAGGTCCACAAATGACAATATTTTGGAGGTCCCAAGTCGCAAGGTGGTTAGATTGGTCTCAACTAGGGCCAGGGCCTTTTCAGTACTGACCCCGACTTGGTGGAATGCTCTGTCACAAGAGACTAGGGCCCTGGGGTACCTATTTATCTACTTGCAGTTTGACATGCTTTCGAACTGCTAGGTTGGCAGGAGCAGGGACTGAGCAACGGGAGCTCACCCCGTTGTGGGGATTCAAACCGCCGACCTTCTGATCGGCAAGTCCTAGGCTCAGTGGTTTAACCCACAGCACCACCAGTCATAGGTATATCAGCATTCAAATCTGAATTGTCAAATTGTGTTATTAGTGATATCGTTTTTATTGTATGTGTCTTTTGCGGTTGTTGTTTATATTGAAAAAATGATTAAATAAATTTAAAAAATAATATTAAAAACAGTTTGAAACAACTTAACAGATTTCTCTTGTTTTGTTTCGGCAGAAAGCACTTGGATATCCCATCCGCGGCCAAGGGTAGCTCCCAAGCGCCGTTGCGGAGATATCTCTGCCCTGTATCCCTCTGAACTCTCCTTGTCATACCGCAGTAGCTGGGTGCACTAATCCGCTTGGCTGGATTCCTCTCCTGCATTAGCTGTCAGGGCGGAAGCGCTGCTCTGAGTTCGAATTCCATCTACCCTTCCCAACTGCCAGAGCTCCAGTTCCCAAATGGCGGAAGGGAGGGAGGGGGAGCTGCCGGCCCCAGATCTCCGCTTCCAGGCGGTGCTGGATCAGGAATTGAAGCTGGGTGTGAAAACAGAGAGGAAGGACCCAGCAGGTCCGAAGTCTGAGATGGGATCCAAGGGACTGAGGAAAAAGCCCCACCTTTCTGCTCAGGCGGGACCTGCGGGGTGCGAGGGCCTGCAGCAGGTCTGGGAGGCCCAGTGGCAGGCCTTCCTCAAGGCGATGGAGTCACCCCACTCTGAGGCGGGGAGCTCGCAGCTGGCGGAGTTGGCTCCCTGGGCGGACCTGAGGACTTCCCTAGCCCCTTTTGAGGCCATCACTGCAGCCAGCCAGCCTCCAAAGGAAGGGTACGTCCTTCCGATCCTCAACGGGCCGAGCCACCAGGTCCACGTCAAGCTTGATCTGAGAGAAAAGGGCCCCTACACCAAAGTAAAGGAGGAGAAGGAGGCGCTCAGCACAGAGGGCCACCGGCAGCGCTTTAGGCAGTCGCACTGCCACCAGGCTGAGAGCCCCCGCCAGGCCTGCAGCCGGCTCTGGGAGCTTTGCCGCCAGTGGTTGAAACCGGAGAGACGTAGCAAAGAGGAGATCCTGGACTTGCTGGTCTTGGAGCAGTTCCTGGATGTCCTGCCTCGAGGGATCCAGAGTCGGGTGAAGGATCAGGCTCCTGAAACCTGTGCCCAGGCGGTGGCCCTGGCGGAGAATTTCTTGCCGGCTCAGGGAGAAGCAGGGAGTTGGGAAGAGCAGGTGAGGCTGTATCCTTTCTTTTTTAAATAATAATAACAATAATTTGTACTTTGAAATATGCACAAATCGAAGTCAACAAAGTTCCCAGTCTAATATTTCCAAAATTTGTGTTGCAGTGATTCACAAAAAACGCCCACCTCTCAACA